TGCCTTACGTTCTTAGCAGTTTAACTTTCCTTTCTTGGTCTTACTTCCGCATTCGACCTCTGTACTATTATCTCACCGTAGCCTTGGTCCGTGCGCATATAGTTTCCTATTTAAGCACGTGTACTTTACTTAGAATCGTCACTTCAATCTTACTAGGTTTTACCCTGAAAACTTCCTTCTCTTAAGACCACCAATCTTAAGACGTCAGAACCGATCTCTTTGTCAAAGCACTCCTTTGACTAAAGTCTACGAACCTCTTCTTATCTGAAGAGCTATACAAAGACCTCAACAACGTGAACGCTCTGTCGAGCCTTTGTTGTTAAAGAACTATCCTAGTTCGTAACAGTATGTATGTCCTCATGAGTATCACCATTAATTACCCCAAGTACGACTATATGAACTGATCTTGCCCAGGACTCAACCCTCGCGTTCTCACAGAGATCCCCACCTACATTCAAGAACTAGTCACTACAATTTGGCCAATACAGCAGGGACGGGTTGTGATGCTATGCAGAGTCGTTAAGCAACGTGTATGTATGTCCTCATTTCTTCCATTTTTGATCTCGCTCATACCATACACCCAGCATTCAACGCTATATTCCCAGTTTTCGAAATGGCTGGATCTAAGGCATACATTCATGTATGTCTCGCAAACTGGAGAGTCTTGGCGTGCACCGCAAGTCCTCCTCATACTCACTGCATTCTCACCAACGCATGTCATTTTGTATGTTCCAGACGCAGGTGTTTTGTCCCTTACATCATGACAGCTGACGCTAGCGGCTATATGAACTTAAGCTTATCTCAATGCCGTCTAAACACACCAGGTAGTATTGCCATTATATATCATAAGTACGGCTGTATGAACTGATCTTGCCCAGGATTCAACCCTCGTGTTCTCCTCACGGACTCCTCACGGAGATCCCCACCTACATCCAAGAACCGGTTGCTGTGATCTGACTGATACAGTAGGGTCGAGTGGTGATGCTATGGAGAGGTGCTAAGCAAAATATGTGTGTATGTCCCTTTCATTATGTATCACAATTAACCATCGTGTCTAGACCCTGCAATGCAGGTGATTCCATGCCATCGTACACATCGGTATTTTCCTGGGGAGACCCAGTACAAAGGTATATATACTACATAGGCAAGTCTCTCGTTCTATCTCCAGCACTACTGCTACTAACATGAACTGTTGCGGCCGTCGTCAACAAAATACTAAAATTCCCCAGGTTGAAGCTGCTCCTGAGCCTGTCGCCCCTGCTCCTGCTCTTCTCCCTCCTGCTGCTCCCGCTCCCGTTCCTGTCATCCCTGCTGCTGCTGCAACTACCACTGCAGCAGCTGCAATTGCTACTGCTCTTCACCGCCCTAGGAGACAACGGCAGCTTCCCCAGAGATTTAGGCAGGACGACACAGCTACTCGTCCGGATGATGGCGAGTGGATCGATCTCAATAATGTCAGCAGTGGTGAAGACAAAGATGACCCACCTGAAGTCATAGTCAACACCCACACACACCCGAGCCCACTACAGACAACGACTACAACGACTAGTACTCTCCTCACCGATCCCTTTGCCACGAGAAAAAGAGGCCTTAAGTCTACTTCTGATGTCCAGTTTTTCTTTAGGAAGAACTCGGACACTGGCAAGCGCATTTGTGTTCCATGCGAGTAAGTAACACATCTGGAGGTCTTTTATGCTCTTTCTCACCACCTTTACCAGGAATGAAAATAAGATCGACTCATCCTGTCCCCTAACTATTTACAGCTCATCTACGAGCAATACCCCTCTTCGTTCCCACATATATAAAGTCCATATCGAACTCTACCTCCAGGAATCCGAGAAGCAGCAATGGCCAATCGGCATACATCCTGTTGGGGAGCACCTCAATGAAGGCTGGACCTTCACCCAGATGCTGGAACGACTCAAAGATCTTACATGCACAATCGAGACACTTGGTCCTCCCCCATATCCCAGACTTAGCGGTTCACGGCCTGGTGTTGGCAAGTCGGCATCTTCAGATCATGACTTCCCAAAATTCTCCATTGAGGAGATGCATAGACATATTGTGAAGTTTATCGTAGCTGACGACCAAGTGAGTACTATCTATTTTCTATGTAATCTCATTAACCGCCATCTCTAGGCAATAAGTGTTGTTGAGTGTCCAGAGTTTCGTCGGCTGCTCTGCCTCTTGCGTCAAGATATCAAGGATTCCGATATCCCTCATCGTACAAAATTTCGGCAAATAATTATCGATGCATGGGATGAATACTTCGCAGCTATCAAACATGACCTCGCTGTAAGTGTACAGCTATCGATTACATATTGTATGTTCATATCTTGCAGGCTGCTCAAGGACGAATTTCATTTATGTCTGACATATGGTCTGATTCTAAGCTCCGTCCCTTTCTTGCTGTGACCGCACATTGGATTGCCAAAGAAAGTGAGCAAGGAGCACTTGTTTTGAAGGCTGCTCTCATCGCCTTTCATCATATCCCTGGTAGTCACACGGGGATGGCACTCGCTTCGAAGATATTAGAGCTGATTGATCGCGCTGAAGTGAAACATAATGTTGGTGTTTTATTGTACTTCATCGCATTATCTGACTTTGTCCAGATCGGACACTTTACCTTGGACAACGCCAGCAACAACAGGACCGCAATGGATGAACTCTTGCAACTATTGCAGAAAGATGGGATTGAATTCGACACGGTCGATCACCGCATCCCATGTTTTCCGCATATAGTAAATATATGCGTCCAACACATCCTGAATGAGCACCCTACTGCGGACTTTTCAGATTTGGCTGACACTTTCATAGCTGGCCCGTACACCTTCAATAAGGTGGAGTACGTCAAGGCTCTGCAAAATAATGTCATCAATTGGGCTAGAGATATTGTCCGTGTGATCCGCGTGTCAGGCCAGCGTCGTGATAGCTTTCGAGCTGCCATTACTTCTGGCAATGCAGAGGGATGGTTTGTAGACGACAAGGGCGAGCGTATGGCTCTGCCAATAGTTGAATTGCTGTGCGACGAGCCTACTCATTGTGATTCAACATATATCATGTTCAATTGTTTGAGGATCCTATGACAGGTAACATTTCATCTTATTAGAATTTCACGCAGCCTAACGGTTGTCCAGGCTATCGACCATTGGATCGACCTTCCTGCTCAACGCAACATAGTCTGTCATAAATTGACCCCCATGGATTGGCAAGTCCTGCAGGATCTTGAGGTTATCCTGGAGGTATGTTTTAAGATGTCTGAAGTCTATAACTCATTTACTGTTCTACATTAGGCACCGCACCACGCTCAACAATGCATGTCCGGTGAAACCAGTCCTCTGCTAGGCAGCGCCGTTCCGGCCTTCAAAGGGTTGATCGAAAGATGGAAGCTCGTTGCTGACCTTGTCCCACACTGTGCACCTTTGGCTGCCATAGGTCTATCATGGGCAGCTAAGTACGATGACCGAATGAGCCTCACAGGAGCATATGCTGTTGCAATGTGTCAGTCATGTATGTTTCTCTAAGGTGAATTCTCATGATTGTATATAGTCGTCAACCCCACAAGACGTCTATCATGGATGAACGAACATTGGCCAGTCGCACGAATCGCAGAGGCAAAATCCTATATTCTCAAACTGGTATGTCTGCCTGGTAATAACAGTCAAACTTTGGACTGATATATCCCACAGATGCGGAACAAGATATCAACAAATGTTTCCACACAGTCCGATCAGTTGATCCGTCAGCCACGCCCTGCAACACTAGGATCGACCATCTATGGACTTCCTGAGATAAATATACTGCCACGTCACCAGGATGGCCCCCGATCAGTCGAGGACGAGTTCAATGCATACAGCACAGGTATTCTTAGCCCTACAGGAACAGATCTGCTTTCTTTTTGGATGGTAAGAGTCCTATTCCTCTATTGCAGGTTTTGTTGATAACCAGGCATCGATGGTGAACTAGGTTTCGGCACCAATGTTTCCGACACTCTACAAAATCGCAATGGACTTTCTGCCAATTCAGGCCTCTGCTGTCCCATGCGAGCATGTATTTTCCTCCAGCAGTGACACGTTTATGAAGAAGTGCAATCGTCTCAGCCCATATTTGATGGAAGCCCTACAGGTGATCAAATTTGCGCTGAAAAAAGAGCAAATGCACTTCACCGAGGGTTGGGCAGCGTCCCAAAAGGATATGGAGTATAACTTGATGTGTGCCACGGGCTCCGCGAGCCACGAAGATCTCTTGGCATCTGGCTCTAGTGATTTACTGATATCTGCCACCAGCGGAACTACTTCTGGTGGTCGTGATTATGAGGCCCTTCTCAGAATTATTGCAGAGGATGAATGCGATGACATTCCGGATGATATCACAACCATATCTATCGTCTCTTAATTCCTGCCTTTTACTGCTACCTCACTGTTTCTGTCATCTTGCTCATGCTACTGCTTTTGTCATTAGACTGACGACTATTGATTTGTTTCTCCTCTTGACACAACTTTTTCACCTAACTAACCATACCAGTTGCAGTCAGTCAAGGTGTCAGTAGTGACTGCGCAACTGGTTTTAGCATTTTTTGTTCAACCGTCGAACTCACCCTAGACAAGTTTCTAGGCAAGGAGTACAATGGCGAAGGTGAGCATTAAACTTCCTCTCTACTCTACCCCCACCCTATCTAACTACATGAGCTCCAGCAAAGGTGTCAGCAGTGACTGCGCAACTGGTTTTAGCATTTTTGTTTGACTGTCAAACTCACCCCTAGGACTAGCTTCTAGGCAAGGAGTACAATGATGAAGGTGAGTATCAAATTTCCTCTCTACTCTACCCTCACCCTATCTAACTACATGAGCTCCAGTGAAGGCATCAGCAGTGACTGCGCAACTGGTTTTAGCATTTTTTGCTTAACCGTCGAACTCACCCTAGACAAGTTTCTAGGCAAGGAGTACAATGGCGAAGGTGAGCATTTAACTTCCTCTCTACTCTACCCCCACCCTACCTAACTACACGAGCTCCAGGAAAGGCGTCAGCAGTGACTGCGCAACTGGTTTTAGCATTTTTGCTTAATCATCGAACTCACCCTAGATGACTTGATGTGAGTACTGAACTTCCCCTCCTCCTCGTCCTCATCGTCATCCTCGTCCTCGTCCTCGTCCTCATCGTCGTCCTCGTCCTCGTCATCATCCTCATCATCATCCTCGTCATCATCCTCGTCCTCGTCATTGTCCTCATCCTCATCATCCTCGTCATTCTTGTCCTTGTCGTCGTCCTCATCGTTGTCGTTCTCATCGTCCTTGCCATTCAAGGTAGCTTGATGCACCAAGTCAGTGATGGCAGCTCAGGTAATGTTCCATTATCAATACAATTTCACAAACACTAATTCTAAGATCTATCCCTAACCTGTACCTTTCGACACAACAGCACCCCACCCCACGACCTAACTTACAGTACCTCCTCCTTCATCCTCAACAAATCCCACTCATTCCTGCCCATTGCGACGACCGAACACTCTCAGCAACCAACATTGCCACTTCGATCTCCCCGACTGTTGACCACTTTCCCCTCCCCCCGGCCGTTGACTGCTTTCCCCTCCCCCCGGCCGTTGTCACCTTTTCCCTCCCCCCGGCCATTGTCCCCTTTCCCCTCCTCTCTGCCTTTGAACAACACTTCCATTCCCTCTCTGTCTGCCTCTTTCAGCTCTTTGCCTTGATGCACGGTCTCGCTCAGCCTTTTCTGACTTCGCCTGCTCTCATAATCTTCGTCCACGAGCAGCGCAGCCATATAGCTAACATTTGTTTAGCTTTTGATTGAACATTGACAGAGTGACTTACATTGTCTTGGGGGGCCATCAGTGTTAGATAGTATTGGTTTGAGAGCACGATGCAAGTTTGTATGATTCGTATGAGTCTCAGTAGGAACCGTGTAGTTGTGAGATGACAATATGATTATCTGATGTTTCACTCGATATGATCTAAGGTGACAGCGTGACAGATAATATTCATCGCATTGCATAGTCTCATTTTGTGTCGTATCAGCTTCAACATGCTTATAAGTTATAACTTTGTTTAATACAAAGTAAGTACAGTTTTCTATAAACTACATCATGATGCCTTGACGCTACATGCAGTAGGCACATGTCTTTCATTCAATCTGGACTCTGGAGGCGGTGCTCAAAAATGTTCTGGTGTGTATGATCCAATTCGCCAACCAAAATGTTCAACATCATCATCATCAGACTCAAAACCACGCTCTTCAGCAAACTCACTCGGTTCAGGCGGCAGCCGTCATGCAATCCCAACACCCTCAACTCGTTTCACTACCCCACCTCTACTCACAAAGTCTGCCAGGCGTATGCTTAATGGTCATGTCTACGGATCAAAATGTCAGCCTCCAGCAAACCCTTTTGCAAATGTACGTGATGAGCCAGAATTCGTAGAATGGGGTTATGGCGGCATGGGAAGCGTGACTGGCAGTAGCGACTCAAAATATTCCGTTCTCGCAAAAGGTGCGCCAGCTCTACTTTCCCATATTCAAGTATGACTTACCTCTCTCTCGTGGTCAACACAACACCCTCCTTCACACACCCTGCCATGAACAGCCCAAGCACAGCCAGCGAGAGTAGCAAATATCATTGCCAGGCTCCAAGAGAGGACGACACGGATGAGAGCGAGGTCGAACGCGCAGAGGTACATCTCATACCTTTCCCTTGTCCTACCCATCTCACCTTCTAATAGGATCGTCGAAAGACGTCCCTGATTTTCATCCTGGCATTTAGTGTCCATTTGACTGCTAACGACTTTTCTCGTGTCCCCTGCACCGTAAACTCACCCCTCCATCTCCATGCCCCAATCACTTCGACATCTCCGTCTATCCTCAATCGCCCCTTCGCCCCTCGTCCATCGTGTATCTTTCTACCTCTAACTTGTATCCAACAACGATCTTGTTGCCTCGTTAACATGGCTACTGGTCCGTACTATTTGACATTGCATAGATCCCAAAGCTCATCGCACCCGTCTTTGACAGTGCACTTTCGTCACCCCTTCTCGTCTCTGTACAGCAGTGCTGAGAGGAGCCACAATCACCTGCTCTCCTCGTTGTCGATGAGTCTAGCATACTGTCAGGCCTTAATCGAAACGGTCGAAGCAATCGAGTCCTGCTTACAGATAAGTTGTTTTATCTAATATTAGATTCTATTTTTTGACTTATAGTTTAAAAATATATTTGAGCCGGTTTTAACCCCTTAATTTGACTTAACTGCAGTTAGTTAAGCCGAGTCAGACTGTGAATTATATAAGCTGGAACCATTTGCCGGTTCAGCTATTCATAGCTCGGGCCGCGGCTAAAACCGGCAATAAGCCGGAGCCGCGGTAACACTACTTGAAGCTTTATTTTGAGGAATGCGGGGGTCTTTTACTGATCACAGACTTGTGCAGAGAAATCAGGAACTCCTCGTGCCTCTATACTATCCCTTACGGTCACTTCGTGAGCCACCGCAACTCCGTGAGTCACGCAGATGTCACATATAGTCACTGACGGTCACTCTGGCCAAATTCAGAGTCCGCTCGGCGTGCTCGACAAGATCGAAACTCGAATTTACCATGCAATTATCAGATGCTACTAATACTATGTCGCGAGTTACAGTATGTCCGAATTATATGGATTTGTATGTGTATAGCAGTGATTAATGTTAAGGGGGATATTGTTGAGTGAAATTTGGATGTGGGTATTGATACATGGGGGAATTGTGACTCGGAGCAGGCCACTGTCCAGAAATATATGATGGGTGTGAAGGATGCGTGAAAAAAAAAATAGTGATGGTGGGTGTCCAGGATGAGAGGAGCTTGATGTTGAAACATCTGCAAGTGCTGCCTGGATCCGTGACTCATACTCGGGGTCAGTAGATGCTGCCCCCCGGCGACATCCCATGGCATAGCAATGAATCCCAGCTTGTAACAATCACGAAGGTGAGCATTCTCGGTGAATTCAATGTCCGATATCGGCAGTGTCGGCAGGTGACACCAGTCCGTGACTTTTCCTGGTGTCACGTAGAAAATACTATCTCTATCATTTCTTTATGAAATTGCTTCGTTTCACTTGGAATAGGATATGGGAATATGTTGAATGTATTCAGTGAAGTAGCTAAGTGATTGGTGTAAATTTGAGGTCTGTAGTTGAAAATCACGAAGTAGTGGTGGGTCACGAAGTGATCGTAGGGGATACATCAGTAAACTACAATTTTCTCCACAGAATGTACAAATTTTGTGTTTTTGTAACAGCCAGCGACAGAGTTGGACAGACTCCACAGTGCCGCCACGCGCACAGCAAACAATAGCCACACATTTCCAGTTGCTCACAGTTCTGCAAGACCTTGCATCCTAGTACTACTAGTAGTAAGCTAATTATTGCCAGTGAGCTCGAGCACTTAGTAGTTTTCAATTCGAAAATTGGACTTGTACAAATTTTATCGATTCCAAATACAAACGGAACTAAAAATAAACATGCAACATGATATACTAACATATGAGGTATTCACAGCATAATACTACGAGTCGAATCAAACCTAGTAAGGGGAAACATGAAGTAAATACTGAGAATCAATCAAGCTGGGCAGTGAGGCGCCGGCCCTCTCCAACTTCTACCAAAATCACCGATGAATTTCCTGGTGTCAGCGGATCTCAGAATGCCACGACATCATTTCGTAGTATAAACAAACTTACCTTGCAAACTCCTGTGAGTTCGACCCGGAGTTGAACAACTTGGAGGAACAATGTGAGTCCATCCATGGTTCTTGAAGACAACTCTCATGCAACCTAGTCCAATGTCTGCATCATCCAGCCGCTTCTCTGCCTCTTCGGCTCGAAATCTGAGCAGACTTGCCAACATTTCATTTTCCCTTACAACACAATCTGCCAGTACTTTTTGTGCCCGATAAACTTCGCGTTTTGCTCTTACAAGGTTCATGATAAGGTTAGCTTCTGAGTTGGTTGGATCCTGTTTAGACTGTTCAAAAGTAAGGTGCTTAAAACTTAAGAAAATTCGATTGACTTCACCATGGAATTGACGGCATTGTGAACCTCGTATAGATCAAAAATTCCGGGTGACAGTCCTTCGCAACGTTGTGAATTGGTTGTACCTGATGTGCTTGCTGACAATGATCGCAGAACGCTCATCATGGTAGTAGAGAGTCGATAGTATCGGAAAATGCCGATGTCGAGTCTCGACTCAATTCAATCAATTGAAGTCTTACGCTACCTGACCTCATGCCTCACTGTCCATCATGCGGAAAAGTCCTCAAGGACCATACATCTGTTGCTCGTCATATGAGCCAGCCCCGGTCTGGCTGCAACACCTGGCTGGACGATATTATCAAGCTCAATACCATAATTCCGCCCACTGACGATCATCCCATGGACCCAATGGACAATAATGGACTACCTATGCCTTATTATGAGCCAGGACTCGGAGATGAGGACAATACATACGTCTTTCATGGTCAAGAAGAGGACATCACGCTGGAAGCGCATGATGGAATTCGGGACCAGGGCAAAGATGCAAATACTGAAGTCACGGATTATTTTCCCAATTCCCCACTCGCCTATGAGGACGGCTATACGTTCTTAGGTTTATTCGACGCTGACGAAAACAGCGTATATCGCAAAACAAATCTTTATTTTCCATTCAGTAGTCGGAGAGACTGGCAGGTTGCCGCATGGCTACTGCGTTCTGGGTTGAGCATGGGGAAGATTGATTCTTTCCTATCGCTTGACATGGTCAGTGTCCGAACTTTAAACTTGCTGCTCTCCCTTGACTGTAGGCCCTTTTAGATTAAAGATTTACCCTTGTCATTTCGCTCGGCCAAAGAACTTCGAGGTCGAGCAGAAATGCTACCCAGTGGTCCACGTTGGAAGTCCCAAATCATTCCTACGTCGCATCCTACTAAGTCACCCGTAATTCTCTATTGGCGCGACCCACTGGAGTGCATCGCAAGTATCTTCAACCACCCGTTATTTCACAATCGTATGGACTTCACACCTCGCAAGGTGTACACCACTGCGGAGAGGCTGTGTTGCATCTATACTGAATGGATGACAGGAAATGATGCTTGGGACATGCAAGTGCGTAACAAATTGAATTTCAATGTTTTTGACTAATGTATTTTTGAAGTCGGCAATACCACGCGGCGCAACTCTTCTCGGTACTATCCTGTCATCCGACAAAACGAACATTACTGCCTTGACAGGCGATCGTGTAGCTCATCCACTTCTTATTAGCTTGGCCAATATACATATGAATACACGACTCAAATCTTCATCAAGTTCTTTCGTTCTCACTGCCTTACTGCCGGTCCCAAAGTTTATTCATAAGAAGAAGCGGATGAAAGGTGTATTGGAGGATCGCCTCATACACCAATGTCTAGACATTGTTCTCGAACCACTCAAGCAGGCTGCTCGAAAGGGCATCATGTTATCTGACCCCATTGGGCAGAGTCGTTACTGTTTCACTGCACTGGCAAGTTATATTGCTGACACCCCGGAAGCCATGATGCTGGCGACTGTCGGTGGAAAGACGTCACCAGTGACCATGGCGATGTACAAGCACTTTGGGGATGACTTCCAGCATGAACCCCGCATGAAATTGACGACTCTTGCGCAGCTTGCCGTTGTCCGCTCACATGCCGATCCCCTTGACCTCGAGGCTTTTTTCCGTGAAGCGCAGAAGTTTCGTCTGAATGGTGTTGCCGAACCGTTCTTTCGGGACTGGATACTTGCAGAGCCCTCCCATTTCTTTACACCAGAATCCCTACACCACTTGCATAAGGAATTTTTCGACCACGATGCACAATGGCTCATCTGTGCTGTTGGAGAATCCGAGATCAATTTCCGATTTTCTGTCTTACAGCCCACCACTGGTTATCGTCACTTTCCTGGAGGCATCTCGAAGCTTAAACAGGTCACCGGTCGCTGTCAACGAGACATGCAGCGATATATCATTGCAGTGTGCGCAGACGCAGCATCTGCACGTATCATCACTGCCTTACGTGCGCTCATGCAATTCCGTTATCTCGTTCAGTCGCCACGCCTTGATGACGACGATCTCAAGCGCATCTCGGGCGCATTGCATGAGTTCCATGCAAACAAGGATGCGATTATTGATGCTGGGGCTCGCCGGGGGAAGGGCAATAGACCCATCACTCACTGGCATATTCCCAAGTTAGAACTTATGCAGAATGTTGTTCCCAGTATCCGTACATCTGGCGTCACAAGACAGTGGTCCGCGGATGTTACTGAACACGCTCATATCACCGAAATCAAAGACCCGGCGAGGTCTAGCAATAATAACAACTACGATCCTCAGATATGTCGACACCTGGACCGTGCAGACAAGTGTCGTCGGTTTGAGCTCGCTACGAGCCTTTTAGATTGCGAACAGTGTGCTGAGGAGCCGGAGGATGTGGACCCTGACGTTGATGATGACATTGACACACATGACATTTCCCCTGAACCACAGCAGCCTGGACATATCCGTCCAATCACAAACTATTTCGCTATCGCCAGAGCTCTCCGGTGCAGAGACGAGGGTTCAGTTCCTGTTCCATTGCGCTCATTTAGTGTTGGATGCACAGCCTTTAATCTTGGGTATGATCCGTCCATCAGGAGTATCACCGTCGATGAAGTCACTGTGAAATTTGGCTTACCTGATCTGCGACCGGCCATTGCTGACTTCCTCCAGCGTGAGGCTACTCATGGACATCAGCATATTCATGCCATAGGTGGCCCAAGGAGAGCTGGACCTACGGCTGACCTTCCTTTCGACAAAATTCAAGTCTGGTTCAAGATTCGCTTGCAAGAGACAGACATTCACGACACTCATACCATCAAACCTGCTCAGACACTTAATTGTGCTCCGCCCAGTGGTCCCTGGACCCTGGATCGTTATGACACAGTCATCGTGGAGACAACTGCGGGCTATTCATGGCCCAGTAGTCGTCTCTCAGGCGAGTTTTCTGTCTCGTGTAACGACACTCGTTCTAACATCAACCACTTACCCTGCAGGTCACACCATCACTCAGATCAGGCTTATCATGCGGCCTATTGGTAAGAGTGGCACGCAATGGTCATGGCAAGATCGATTTCTCACCTATGTTCAACGCCTTGACTTATCGAATGATCGCGATGCAAATACACAACTGCACCTGCTCAAGCGGGCAAAACGTTCGAATGGAGATCGGATGGGGGACATTATACCCCTCTCTCAACTGAGGGCGCCCGTTAATCTGGTCCCTCGTTTTGGAGTCATTGCGGATAAGCGCCTCACCGCACATAATAGTATGGAACATGCCGCGGAGTTTTGGTTGAATGAGTTTTGGGAAAAAAGCACCTTCTTCGCCCTATCAGCATAGTATTTGGTTCGAGAAAAGATCAGTTTTGGGTTATGGTAGTGCACAGTACCTGTTTCACGCTGTTCTGAGTGTACATAGCAACCATTGTTCGTCCTGCACGCTATGCCATCCGCTTGTCATTTTCGAACGATTGACCTTGGGAAGAAGCTGTCATCCTTTGTGACGGCTCCCCCAATACATGACACCCAAACGATGGACAAACTCACAAATTCTGAACTTAATCGTTTGATACTCGAGGAACATCAACCTGCTAACAAAGACGAACTTGGCCACCTGTTGACTCATATCTTCCAATCCTTTACCACTGAGATTCCTGTGGCGGAAGAGCTTGCAATTCCTTTGAGCAGTGTTCCTCAAAGTGCGAGGCTCGATGGTCTTCATACTTTCAGTGTCGAACCAGATGGGGTTCCCATGATCAACCTGTACGATACTGAAAAACATCGGTGGAATTGGGTGCTGCCATCGTCATATGAACGCAACCGTTCACCTACAAAAAACAGGGAGCAGAAAGGAGTCGAAAGTGACAAGGGAGAGTGGATCTTGGTCGATGAAGCTGCTACAAATGCGGAGAAGTTAGCCCACCGAACCATCGATACCTCATCCACTGAAGATGTGAACATCACCGAAAACAGCCTCTCAGAGTCCGTATCGTCTGGTGGGGCAGGGTCACTTGATGACCAGATGCCATCCAGCAATAGCAAGGGTTCATCGGACTCATCCAATGATGGGAATGAAGTGATGGCCAGTGAGGAGGACTTCAATCAATCTTCGACAGAACATATCTTTGGATCCTTCTTTAATGTCGTCTCTGTTGCCCTCCTTGGAAAACAGCCGGAACTTGCTCAAAAAAACCATTTGTCATGCAACTGGAGCGCAGCAAACTCATCACGCCCAGTACGTGGTGAAAATATCAAACGCAAACCAGATCTGGCCTTATTGGACGATGTCGAGGCCCGATGGGACACCATCAAGGCGGTATGTGAGCTGACTGCCAGCCCATACACGCCTTCGGGTACCCTTGCGAAGACTCTCGACACTAAAGCATACCTACTTCTGAAACATCAGCCCTGGAGAAGATTCGCTCTGATGATCTCACTGTGCGCCAGCTATCGTGAGCTTCGCGTCCACTTGTACGACCACTCGGGTGGTGTTGTAAGCGCTTGCACTCATATCGACCAACAACCTAACAAGTACTTACAAATATTCTCGAGCGTGGTCTTCGGTGGACTCGAGTGTATTGGGTACGACCCCTCAATCAACATCTTTAAACACACACTTGATCAAACAATCAAATCACACTCAAATTGGCTCCCCATCCACGTCCTGAAGGACTTAAAAGATCAGGAAGTCAAGGCTGCCAGTGAGGGAAAGGGTGAGGGTGAGAGTGAGGTTGAGAGTGAGAGCGAGAGCGAGAGTGAGGGTGAAGGCAAAGGCAAAGGCGAGGGCAAAGGCAAAGGCAAAGGCAAAGGCAAAGGCAAAGGCAAAGGCAAAGGCAAAGGCAAAGGCAAAGGCAAAGGCAAAGGCAAAGGCAAAGGCAAAGGCAAAGGCAAAGGCAAAGGCAAAGGCAAAGGCAAAGGCAAAGGCAAAGGCAAAGGCAAAGGCAAAGGCAAAGGCAAAGGCAAAGGCAAAGGCAAAGGCAAAGGCAAAGGCAAAGGCAAAGGCAAAGGCAAAGGCGAGGGCGAGGGTCAGGATAGTAAGACCACATCTCAGGACACCTCTGAAACGCAAGATGACGATGAGTTCCCTGTGGAGCTCCCTATAGAAGTACCTGAAGACCCTCTGCACGCACCCCTTCCAGAACCTATTGGCAAGATTCGCGTCAACGACCATTACTACGATATGCTGGAAATTATATTCTCGAGCCAGGGTCTTGTTGGGCGTGGTTCCGTTTGTTACCTGGCCAGGAAAGACGAAGAAGAGTTCATTATTAAGGACCACTGGGTCCTGGGGGGAGAGAAGGAGGCTATGAATGAGATCAACATGATGAAGAAGATGAGTGGAGTCCGCGGTGTTCCTACCCTCATCGAGCATTGGTTTGTTGAGTCTGGGAACAAAGTCGATCGAACTTCAAACTATCGGTTCAAAGTTTTGCGCAGCCTTAAGGGCACATCCCGGACTCATGTTCGCCTCGTCTTGAAGCCACGCGCGAGGCCTTTGCATAAATTCCGCTCGAAGCTAGAGTTGCTTAGCTCAATACGCGATATCGTCAAAAGTAAGTTCTATATTACAATGTATTGAAGATTTTACTGACCTAATGTTTAGTTCAGAAGGAAGCGGTGGAAGAGCGCAAGGTTCTCCATCGTGACTGCAGTTTGAACAATGCTATGATTGAGGATGATGGGAAAGACACCCACGGGATGCTGATAGACTGGGAGTTTGCTGTTAATATTTTGAAGAGCGGGAACTACGCTGTCGGGGGCACTGTTAGTGTTTTTATTTTGTCAAATAACACCGTGTTTTAACAATGAACATTTAGGGCACATTACCCTTCATGTCCCGAGCGCTTCTCTTGCAGCTCCACCTTTGTGATCCGGATGGAGCGGATGAACGCAAGAAAGCCTCCTGTTCGAAAGCAAAGGTTGCCCCCCTGGTTAGGCATGGCTACCACGATGACCTCGAGTCGATGTTTTACATCTTCATCTGGATCTGTATCGAATTCAGAGGTCCTCTCGGCATGAAACGTAAACTCGACAATACTCACGACTGGATACCGCATCAATGGTCTGCATCCAAATTCAAGGTGTGCTGTGACAGCAAAACATCATTCTTCTGGCACATGGAGCACTATGTCGAGGAACTTAGCAAGCAGTTCCATCCATACTTCAAAAAACTCCTTCCTGTCGCGTTGGAGTGGTACTATCTGATGAGAGAACCAACGAAGGTAACCTTCGACGACGTAATCGAGATGCTAGAGAGACATATCACAAACCTTCCGATGAATGAGCCGTCGCCTGAACTCCTTGTCTCACGGTGGTTACTCAAAGGCCTCAAGGCAGAACACTCGGTAAGCAGTGGCGAAGAGGGGGAATCACAATCACTCGTAGACGAGACGAGCCGTAATAACAAACGAGTCATAGATTACCGATGGACCCTAGAAATTGCTCCCAAGTCAAAAAGGAGTAAGACTGGATACTAGGTGTTTAGCGAAACGTACTTACATAAACTCGACTCTACTGCAAACACTTATGTAATCTCTCTTGCTTTGATTTGATATACATTCTGTTCGAGTCATGTTGTGACATCATGAATATTTCCAAATGGTACATCTTCACTCACGACTTTAACGTTTTCTAGTGACTAATACTAACTACGTTATGCCTACATACAGTCGACTCGGCCATCTTCAAAGCACGCTTTCAGCTTCGTAAAATTTTCACCTTTACACACGGGCTGCGGTTGACTCATATTTCCAGATATCATTTGCGATGATCATTCTCATTCCCGCTGCCAGACTACAAAAAGCATTTGGGTAAGTGTCTGATTTAATTGGTACTACTCGTTATTACTCCCAGCTACAGCCCTAGTCATGCCTGCCCGCAGTAGCCCTAAGAAGAAGAGAACGAAGCGTAAAGCTACGGACTCTGACGGGCAAGAGATTTCAACCAAGAAATCACGGGCTGGGGCCATGCCACTCTCCATGTCGCAGCAGACTCCAGATGTGGATAGCTCCTTACTCCCTCGGCGTTCTGGACGTCCAGGCGCAGGAACAGGAGGCAGGGCCAATCAACTTGAGAGAATCGGTGCCCTTTTGGGTGCCCCAGCACGGACCAGCCAACCCAAGGGCTCTACCTCCCTCGATTCGAACGTTCCAGTTAACCCTCTTGCTCCAGAACCAGTTCGTAAGGGTCGTGGAAGTCGGGCAAAGGTAAGTCTATTATTCTACCCGTAGTTACAGATGTCAACGCTGAATATATTTAGAAACCTCCTCCACCATATAGTGCCTCTGAGCCGGCGGATCCCCCTGCTGCAACTTCCACTAAAGCTAAGGGGAAGAAAGCCAAGGCGACGAAGACAGCTGTTATCCCTCCCTCAAGCATGGAGGCGTCAGATGTCCAACCCGGTTTTCATCGACGTGAAGCTGGTGCAAGGTTTGGTTTTTCTCAACACATCGTTCCCCCGGGCACAGAACCTGACTTGCAAGCGCTCAACAACCCATACGTGGCTGCAGCAAGGGAGAAGGTTGCTGTAACGTGTCTTCCTGCTCCTATTGGTGCCTCAGCAGCGATCGGACGTCTTCCTGCTACCAGTACTAGATCTCCAAAGAAAGACCCCGTGCCACTGATACCTTCAAGATCTACGTCAGCTGCACATCAATCTGATCGCATGTTCTATCAAAATTTGGACCCTACCCTTCGATCAGCAGATGATGGAAGTGGTCAGAAAGACTCAGGATCAGACATGTCTAGCGAGGGTAGTGATACAAGTACTACTGATGACGAAGAAGATCAGGAAGTTGGTTGGGGAGCATCAAAGGGATACCTTACCGCGCACCCTGGTGAGTCACTGGTTTGGTCGTCATCATGTGTGCTAAATGAGGTATAGGTTTCTCAAAGGAAGTATTACCATCTCAACCCCGGGTCACCACTGCTCTGCCATCGGACTTCGAGTTCCAATATTCCCGCGATGAAGACGATAATATAGCATTGGCTGCAGAGGATAGTGCCTCCAGTGATGATGACAATCAGGTATGTTTCACTTGTTTCCCTGGAGTGCGCTAATTTTTCTGTCTTTTTTTTTGCAGCCGGCGGCCATTGAACCCAAGCCAGATGATGTTTTACTCCGTCACCAAAAGAAAAACGGACGTCCCCGTGTTCCTAATCCCGAATTCCTTGATCTCCTCCGATCTTCCGACACGACATCAATCAAAGTGGAGGAATCAGAAACCAAAGCTACTATGGCCAAAGCACCAAGATCCAAGGAACCGTCTGAGCCCAAGCCCACTCAACTTGGCTGGTACCCGCCACGCTGGAAGGCCTTCCTTGAGGATGCCAAAGGGGATTGCCGTACCCAGCACGCAATCGAGAATGCATTCCCGACTTTGGCTGATGATCTACCCATTTCCGTCACTGAAGCTCTCACATCATCTCTTGTAGAATGGCTTGAAGGCAGTAAGCAGGTCGAACCAGGTATGTCCTTTTCTTCCTCAAGACATTTTACTCATGACATATACTAGGTCTGTGGCCCGATTACAAGCCTGACATGGCGAAACTGGTATGTATGTCAGTTCTCGCATGTCCAGATTCTAATATTTTGTTATCCTAGCTGTACGAAGATTTGTCAACCTGGCGCTCCGATTTGAAGAAAACAGCAGTTGCCATAGCACCCACCATGTACAACCTCATCCCCCCGCCCGAAGTCCCTATGCAAGATCGTGTGACATGGGTACAGAATACCGCTAAGGAGCTTTTGCACGATTCACTTTTTCTTCACAACGGTGTGGACGAACTGGGGAAAACTAATAATGCTGCTCACCCTGCACTCCGGGAGGCCGCCATCAGTTTCTTATATACTGGATCTTATCGTGTTGCTCGCAGGAGGCCGGATATTTTCAAGAAGGAGATACCGTTGAACAGCCTAGCTTTGATTTGCACTGCGGTATCTTTTATTCATCTATACTATACGCTATCAACAACTGATTGAAGCTGATTTTTGTAGTACCATTGTGTCCTGGACGGCTTTATCAAGAATGGCAATGGAAAATCATTCCCAAAATTTTCCGCTAAAGAATACAGCACCATCTACCAGTCAATGATTGCTCTACTTGAGGATGTCAAGAACGACCCATACCACGGACCTAAATTGATGCGGCAACTTCACGAGTGGGCCGCAGAAGGATGGTGAGTCTTTATTTAACCAAGTCTCGGACGCTCATTGAACGCATGCATGCAGGGCGGAGTCTTGCAAGCTCGACAGGAGGGACACGACAAAGCATAATCATTTGCGAGTCATTTTGGATTAGGTTTCGGGTGTTTTGCTTTCATGTGTTCCTGTCATCGCTTATACTACCGCTTACTACTACATGTTTCCGTTTATCTGCGAAATGAATATATTTTGGTGATTCTGCTTATTTTTAGGTTTTATATTTGCAGTGATTTGTCTATTTTTAAATGCAAGAACAGTGGTGCGAGAATACCTGCCTACTGGACAGTAGTATACAATAAGATTTGTGGTGAATTGTGTACAGAAACGAAGTTCTTGGGGTGTCTGTGAATGTCTGTACAAGGATTGACAGGGAAAGGTGTTACTGTAGTAAACTGTCCAGAAGGGACCAAGCTGTCTGCCTCTCATGCTGTACAGTTCTGTACAGAACTGTACAGAACCGAGTAGTTTACTGATGTAGTAAGGTCAAACATGCCATTGTAACGATCGGTAGCAGAATTATGCAGATGTTTGTGATTGCGTGCTATATATTGATATATATGACATTCTAATTTGTCCCTCAGTTCACTGATGATCAGTACGGGCCTGTCTATTGACTCGACGTCAAGTCAATCCGCCATTGCTCGTCATCAATTTTTGACTTTTCAATATGTTCAAGGATGAGAATCGCCGGGGACACTTGTGTCTCCGATCTTGCAAAAAAGACATACATGGTTTGTTCAGAGAAAAGAAGTGTTTATTGTAACGGAAGCCTAAGGCGTTTCTTTTACCCTGATCATTGGGTTTTGAATGAATGACAAGTGACCTTGGTCAGACAAGATACTCTTCCACATAGTACATGCGCACTTCCAGCCAGGTCCCGTTGAAGACGATTCCAACCTGTCAGTGAGAGTTACATGTAATCGCCACCCCTTTTCCTGTAGCTGAACGTAAAACGAACCTTGGCGGTACTGGAAACCCGCAGGCCAGCCTGGAGCTATATTTTATCACCCACTATGGTTGCACCAACTGCGCGCTCATTAATGGCTACGAACAACCAAGTAATATATACGGCGTTGTTCGAAACAACCATGTATCGTAGATGTTGCTACAATAATGAAACAGGTAAAAGAACAACAACGTACTAATGTCTTCTGAGGGTAATCGAAGGAGTTCCGTAAAAACCATGGTAAACATACTAAACATACTGAACACGAGCTGACAAATGAATTATTGGAATCAAACTTTGCAACGTTCCCCAGAACTGCCAGACACGCAGCCAGAGGTAAGGCTATCTGAAGTATTACGTCTGAGCGGTCCCAGATCGCCGTACGTCGTGACATGAAGAATTGGCTGCTTGCGGTAAAGGTCCGCTAGTAGGCGTGTCTGAAGGGCGTTTCTGAGATGTACGGCGTACCGCGTGCGAATTAAACTCGACGAATTGATAGGAAGATAGCGCGGGCGATGCTGTAGCACGAGAAGGGTCAGATGGGGGTGGAATCGAAGCTCCAGAGTCATGAAGGTTGGGCACGACGGGGGGAATAAACTTGAATCTGTCCACATTTACTAAGTGCGTCATGGATGATGAGTACCTCCGTCGAGCGTCATCAACTACCGCCTTGCTGGGCGCTCCATCATCAGCAGGGGGTATCAAGAGTATCATCTCTCTTATCACACCAACGAGCGCGGCGTGGGTCAAGGATGAACGCTTCACATTGATCATGCGAGCGTCCTCCTTCGTTGGCCACAGCAAGTTAAATAACTTGAACCATCCATCCATGAGCGCGCCGACCTTCCAATATGGATGAAGCGACAGCTTAAACGTCTCATAGCTGAGGAACCTCTTCTGGTGCAGCACAGGATCGGTCCGCAGCTGCAGGGAGCCCATTTTGGCCCACTCCGGGACCATCGCATTCCGCCTTTCAAATTCTTCATCGCCACCATTGGTGGGAGTGCGTCGCATTGCGGAAAACCGCTCGACCGAGGAAGGAGGTCCACCTTTGCCAGGCCAGCTGAAGGTGGGTAGGTGTAATTTGCTGGAGATCAGGTTGCTAGCTTTGTCGTTGTTCATAGAATTGTCAGGAATAGGTGCCGCCTTTGGGGGGGGAGGCCAGTGTTCGACCTGATTGTACGGACCCTTAAAATTGACACCGACGATCCACAGAAGAAAGATGTATGACTCCAGGTCATGCGTGATGTGGGGAGCCTCGTTTGAGTCGGCCGTGGTGCCAAACGGAAAAGTTCCCTGAAAAAAAATAAGTACGAAGAGAGGGAAATGACACGAAGACGCACAGTGGTAGTTATAGCATTGGCCGCACCGTCTTTATCCAACAAGTTCAGGCCAAGGCCGAAATCACCAGTCATCCCAGGGCGCTTGGGAAACCAGGGTGCGGGGACTTCCAGAGTGGCAAAGTGCGGTACACCACTCTGAGATGATAGATACCATTCTGGTACCGCGTACTTGGGGTCGGTTTGAGGAACCCAGAACCAAACGTTGCCGTCGCTGGTGTCGCGGTGCATAATCCCACGCCTGCACGCTTCAAGATGACCTGCAAATAATGTATGAAACGAGATAGAACGCTTGGTAGAAATTGCATACGTACCTAGTAGTGAATCCAGTATGCAATGTAAAAACTCACGGCGGCAAGAGAACCAAGTGCATTTGATGGCTGATGTGCGAAATACTGTGCGATAGTGGATCAAGGGGTCGCTGGCTGCAGTCATTTCCTTCAGGATGACTGGCACGCTGTCTACAACTTGCCGGCCGTTAATTCCATCAGTCATCTGAAGAGCGTCCACAGAGAACCGATTGTCCCGTATGGGAAGATGCCAGGGGTACATCCCTTCAGCGCCCAAATTATCCCATTCGGGCCGAGCACCCCAGGACTGGAACAGTTCTTCCGTGAGTTTGACCTCTTCCGGCGTTTTAGAGATACGATCTGGGAACATGCCTGTTATCTCAATCAGATCAGCATGCGCATCATAGATCGAGGTTAGACTTACTGCCTAAAAGCGTCTGTGTCCGAGTGATGCGTCCACTATCCTCCAGCAATTTGTGAATTTCTCCATCTGATGCGAGCCGAACGTCCTGCCACACATCCTTCACGATCAAGTAATCAGTCTGAGTATGCGATGGTCGGTGGGTGAGGCCCATGATCCTAGTTGATCGGCCAATTGCCGAATTACTGTTGTAGATCACCGATGTGATATCGGCCATCGCCCCACGTGCTGACTCAGCGTCCCCCTTCAAGGCCATTTTGAAGCCACGGTCATCCCTTGTGATAGACTTGTCGTAACCCAGGAACTCCAAGTCGACGTGCTTGAACCACGACATACAATTGAGGAAGTCGTCAGAGTCGCGATATATGTCGATCGGAGTAGTTATGGACGATCCTCCACGAGTGTATACACACGCGTAGAGATCAGCTCCCAACAAGAGTAGACCTACGAAGTACCGCCGATTAACCTGATTCGTCAGAATGAGTCGTCCGATCTCCGACATGCGTTTGGTCGCTTCATCCATGAGACCCTTAGTGTTGCGATACTTGATCTCCAACGCGGAGATGATGTCCGTCCATTCAATTGATTCGATAGGCCTCGTGTCATCCATCAATACAGCGTCAGGCTTGCGAAAACCGGGCCCGATGCCAGCAGTCATGGCACCAGCTTTGGGACCAATCAATGTGTTGCCGGTGTGAAGCCACGTACGTTTACGAAGTTTCGACAGCACCGACCAACCCTGCTCTTGGGTAATGACTTTGTCGACCCAAGAATTGCCCTACACAAAGTTGGTGAATATCAAGCAACATAATAACACCCAGTACATTCGCTGCGTAGAATGCTACTGACTTTGTTAAAAAAATCTACCACGCCCTTCTCTTTTATAGCGTCCCTTTGCTTATCATACAACCAAGGGCATGCAGAGATCGACCAATGACCAATCATGCGCCCTTGTAGCTCTACAGCTTGAAACTGCTGAACGTCGTTAGCGGATGATTCGTGAAATGATAATATGCACGTGCCCGACTACACCACATGTCCGCCATATCGCTAGCCTTGTCTTCAGGAACCCGCCGCTTTACAAGCTCATCTCGCACCCTACGCTTGGCCATCAGAATGTCATCCTGAAGGTCCGCCGGTTTCAAATGAGATGACGAGGCGTCGTCCAGTCGCTCTTTGAGCCACCGAGTTCCATTTTCGTGCATAAGAGACGCTATTGCCTCCAAGTCGTCACTGCTTAGGTCTACGCTAGCAGCAGAAGCCACCTCCTTGAGAGCCAAGACCGGATCTTGATAGTGGCCTTTCTCAATAATCGAGGCCTTTGTTTTCTTAATCAAGTCGTCTGTCAGGAAGTCGGGCTTGGAATGCGCTGCATGAAAAAAGTAACAATTCTTCCAAGGAGCGGTGTATGATACATAGCGGTTGTTGAGCTCCACCCATGGCTCCATGACGCTCGCTCTGGGAAGCTGGATGTTCGATGGGAGATAAAATGAGTGTATCTGGTGAGTGTCATATCAATCATGCGGCAAAGAACTGTTATCATCAAAGTTGACTTGCCGTATGACGCTCTCTCAGTTGTTGATGGGAAACCTTGGGGACAAGCCTGGTATTGGCCTGCCCAAAATTGAAAGAGACCAAATTTCCCACAACAGTGAGTTTGACAAAGGAGTCAGTTTGCGTTCATCCTGACAAGTACGATGGTTCCATAAAGTTACTCACCGCCATGTCTGATGTGGTGCTGTGTAGTGCGAAGCAAAGAAGAGCCTGAAGGCACTTACCCTAACTGGAACTTCCAAAGGCTCTCAATCACCTGGTGAGCTACCTCATGGTAACTGGCTGATACTGATCCATCGATTACAAAACTTATCCATTAATCAGATTTGTAAGTCGTCCCTAACGAGAGGCGCGCAAGAATTTTTCAATTCCAAGATCTCATTTGTGTAGAAAGGAATTAGCCTCGTGGCAATTGGCCAAATGGCAGAAGTCGGAAAAAAGTTGTGAGCATTTTTACTAAATCCTCAAGCGGATCTATTTGGCCATCAATCAAATGTCTCACGACACTCGTAGATATTACACATATAAATCGGCTCAATTTGAGGAACATTCAGCAGAAGTGAGGTGTAAGTATTGCAATACTCCCTGCAAGAGATCATGGACCACCACGCTCGTTAGGCAGCGACCTCGTGCACGTTGGACATAGCCCATGAAAGAAGTTGCAGTGCGTATACCTGCCGTCCAAGAAGCCTTCTCCGCGTTGATAAGGTGTATATAGCACTGCCAACGAATGCTTGCGCCCCTGGCGCACGTCCATGTGTCGATGGGGCCTCAGGCCTCATGGTTTGGTGCTACAAAAGGCCCGTATCAGTAGACTGGTGAGTTCTTGCTGCGATTATGATGATTGCGGTGCATTTGCATGGTCATATATTCCAAAGTGACGAAAACCTGTCGTATACATTACGATATATGACAATATCTTCTCACCGGTTCCCTGATCGGTATCAATGAAAGCGAGGACTCAACGCGAACCCTTGTGCCCCAGCTGCCGTCCAATAAGCACACATGCAGTCCAGGAAGCCATCCTCGCGTTGGTAAGGGTGTGTATACCTCCAAGTGCCCCTGGCAAGATCCTTGTGTTGATGAGGCCTCAGGGTTTGGTACCAATGAAAGCGAGCGCTCGGCGCAAACCCTTGTACCCCAGCTACCGTCCAACAAGCACACCTGCAGTCCTGGAAGCCATACTTGCGTCGATGAGGGTGTGTATACCGCCAATGAATGCTTGCAGTACCCTGGTGCGCATCCGTATGCCCATGAGGCCTCAGGGTTTCCATTAGAGCTAGGGTAAGACACCAACTAAGGTTTGTACTCAGCCCGCAAACCCTTGTGCTCCACTGGCATTCAGCAATATAAAGGCAGGTTCTTTTTATGTTTATGCCAACAGTTATTATCTCCCCTGCTTTTACAACCTCAACCATGGGCTTTCAGTGCTCTTTCTGCCCCATATCTTTTAGCGCCAAGAACGCTTATAACACACACACTAGGAAATGCACACCAACTATCACTTTTAAATTGTCTGGAGAGGAAATCACTATAAGCCGAAATGCTTGTGGAGTATTCTTATGCTACTGCTCTAATCCAAAGTGCCCCAGTCCGACTGGTTATGCTACTCTCGACAGCCTCAAAGCCCATCAGAAGAAAGTTCCAAATTGCCGCTGGGTTCCAGAGAAGGTAGGAAGGTTGTATTGCTATCTAACCCAAATTGATTTTCCTGTTCCGATAGTCCAGAGCCTCAAACGACTCAAGTGTTGCTATCATGGTTATACTTTCGATTCGAAATTTTTTCTTGCTAATTATCATGATGCAGTCTCAGGCGCCTGAACTTGAAAACGTTACTTCTCCCAATCAGAGGCCTGCTGTAAACGAGGCAAGTCAATCATGTTGATGCAGCATGAAGTCTTTGGTTGCTCACTGGGGCCTTCCCTTAAACGAATAGGACGTCATAATGTGCTCTCCTATATCGAAAGGACGGGATACTGCACCAAGGATAACAGCCGCGGTAAGGCACTATTGGCTATCCTCTGGCTAGTATTGTGGACGTTCATCATCATTTATAAGCTCGCCGAAAATGCTGGGATTGATGCCGTGTCTGCCATCCAGGCCGCAGCAAGGGGTACGGATACTCGAATGCGTTCACCTTCACCAATCAACTCTGCGATTTCGATGTCAATAACCGGGGCAGGGCAAATTTTACCTGATTCTATGCTTCCCAGGCACCACTCACCGGACGTATCTGTACTGCTGCACCAGGGTCCAAGTCTCATTCATGATTCGTACCTTGATACTCTTAACCTGGCAGTGAACACAGAGTTCAAATTTCTTTGCTGTGAGCTCTGCGAAACGGCCGTACTAGCCAAGCATGCGAAAAGTCATGTGAAGAAACATGGATTACATTTTGATTCAATCAAATTTCACGAGGCTATTTTGAAAGCTGGCGTCCTACCAGACTTACCTATCATATCATCCATCAGATTTCCGATACATGGACTATCCATCCAAGATGCCTTTTCATGCAACCACTGCAGCAAGATTCTGTTGTCAGTAAGGAAAATTGGGGAGCATGTCGCTGGTCAGCACAGAGACGTACCCTCTGCTAGTGCATGGAGACCTTGTAAAGCGCAGCGTTTCCAAAAAGGAGGTGGACAGCCCGGACATCAATTGTTGTGGGAGGTCTCCGGTGACTTTGACGCAGGCGCCACGACTACAGACCAAGTTGTTCTCGACGTCCTGAACAAGATAGGGAAAGAGTTGGCTGTTACGACCGTGCCTCAGGATGACCGCATGGTTAGCCCCTGGTTGCTCACCACTAGGTGGCATGAGCATACTTGTGCTCACCCGACTGGGTACCTCCGCGACATGGTGGCGATACCTAAGGACAATGATGGTGAAGACCTCTCGAAGCTTAAGGACGCAGTGGAAGTATACTTCCAGGATGCTCTGGATCTGTTACCTACCACAGATGAAATTACTCTGCAAAGGCTCAATTCGCCAGATCCTGTAAAGCTGTGAGCATCCCTAGCAGTGTCTTACAATGGACCGCTTCTCATTTGATTGATGTTTAGTGGAATATCCAACACGCCATTTCACAAGCATCAAGAAAAGGAGACCATGCGACGATACATCCTACCTATCGTAGCCTTGCTTGCAATGCTGATACGTAGTGATGAGTCTAGTGATTATCATATTCCAATGCCTCCCGATTTGCAACATCTGGTTATCGCCTTAGACAGCAGCGTGGCCGGAGATTCCCCATACCAGTTATCTGACATCTCTCTTATCATTCATCAAATCTTGATGCACATCTGGACCACAAAATGGAAGCGAACCACGGAAAATCTCATACCAGATCCCACGGAACGCTGTCTGGCACTTCTGACACTACAGAAAGATGGGTCATTTAAAGAACCGAAGGATGTCACCGGCATTATAGCAAAGGACGAGTACTGCATCCGACTAGCATTTCTTGCTGAAATCAGAAACAGAGTGGCCTTGGGAGAGGCAGAAGACGAATCAGCTGCTTTTGATAAGCTACAGCCCCATCTTACAGAACACAATCATTATACCTTCTCTCGTCTTCGCTCCCTGCAGCATCGTGCCTCATCTCTTGCATACAGCACTGCAGGTCTCCCTCGAATCTGGTGGACTGATGCAACCACTTGGCACACTATGCTTTACAAGGGCAACCACATTAACCTAGATGACGTACGCAAGATGTTGGCCGATACAGAGGCCAAACTAGTGGATGCATGGGAGAACTCTGTGTTGAAGGGCCTGCGTGTCAGGATTGATTATCATACCATCGCTGATGACTTGACCAACAAAGACGTTGGATACTCCTTCTTATCTGACCCACGAAACGCATGCTTTGCCAGAAGAGACCAACTGCTGGACGCATTCTTTCGCAATCAAGATATATTCGCCCACTTTGGAGTAGTACGCCAGGGTGAAGTAATATGGAATAAAGGAAATCTTAGGAAATGGCTACAAGATTATGCCGATTTCCACAGCCTTCTGCTACTTCGATGTGAGATGCTGAGTGGAGCGCCTGGGCGAGGAACGGAACTGACAGCCATGACGTATCGCAATACCAGTACCCGACCAACCCGCAATCTTGTCATTCTAGGCAAACACGTAGCCATGCTTTGCATCTATTCAAAGACCGGCGCTCTTACTGGGAAGGACAAGTTGATACCCCACAGCTTAGATGCTGTGACGAGCGACATTCTCATTCAGGATCTTGCCCTGGCCAGACCTTTTGCGGAGTTTGCTGCTTCTATCTGCTTTCTTAACAAGACCCAGGTCAGAGAGCTATACCGCCAGCAAATGTTTATAAAATTTGATAGACTATTCAACTCCAACGACCTATCCGCCACCATGACACGTCACAGCCTTGCGCCCCTCAACTATGGCTTAACAATCAACTCCTGGAGGCACATTCAAACTGCCTGGAAGCGGAAATTTAGGTGTTCAACCGAAGATCTTCTAGAAGAAGACACCGAGGACACCATAGATGCTCTGCAGGCTGGTCATTCACGGGCCACAGAGAATCGCATATATGGACTCAGCGTAGAGACTCTAGCAGGCCCAGCTGAAGATGTGCTGCCATTGTTTTTGAACGCAAGTACCATGTGGCAGATCAAATGCAAGAGCGTTCCAGGTGGAGATCTGCGTCCATATGCTCAAGCTCGATCCAATGATCACAGTCCCCCCATGCTGATGCCAGACGCCCGACAGGGTCGAGGAGCACCATCAAACAACTCCACACCGGCAAATGCGGACGATGTTGCACACAGAGTAATTGAGCTGCTAACACCAGTTCTTACTAGTACGATACAGGCAGCTATCTCCAACGCAGTGGCTAGTGTTCCTAAAGCCACACCGTTTCCAATCCCCAAAAGTAAAGACAGCTTCCCAGCTTATCAGCATCAGTTCCAGGACGAGTCGGAAGAGGAATATCCCTCAGAGGCTGAAGTTTGCGTCGACGAAATCCCAAATGTGGAGACGAATAGCAGGGAACCAGAGTCATTGGCTATTCCATCAAACATCCAGCCGCCGCGTAAGCTCTAACACTCATATCGATATTATCTGGCCTAATCTATGCAACGACATAGCATTCTGTACGCCTGACATTGGCGTAGATCGTGCTCTGACTGCCATGAAAACAATGTTGCATGATCAAGTGGTTGCTTGGGCTTCGGAGCAACAACGCCAAGCAATGGCTGCAGTACTGGCCCAACAAACCGATGTGGTGGCTGTTCTTCGTACCGGTGGAGGCAAATCTATGCTGGCCATTATTCCCAGTATATTGGAGAAAGACAGAGGCGCTACAGTTTTGATACTGCCTTTAAACTCTCTAATGATGGATTTTGAGCGATGGCTCAAGAGCATGGGGGTGCCATTTCAGATCTACGGCGCCAACCAAGGCAGTCTCAACCCTAGGGAAAACCTCATTCTGGTCACAGCCGACCAGGCTCGTACGAAAGGCTGGAGAGAATCCATATCCGTTCTCAACCAGCGCAAGCCCATAGTCCGGTTTGTATTTGATGAATCTCACCTTCCTCTCATCGCCAATGACTATCGGGAGGCCCTACAGCACATCTACGAGCTTCGCAGCCTAGCCGTACAGATGGTCCTTCTCACAGCCACTCTGCCGCCCTCTTCTGTTCCCGATATCAAGTCATCTTTTGGCTTGGGAAAGGATGCCTTGGTGGTCAGACAGTGTACCAATCGTGAGGAACTGACCTACTTCCTTGAAAAGGTACCGCCCACAGATCTCATATCCAGAGCTGTTGCGATCTTGGAACTGGAGAGGGCTACTTGGGAGAACCGTGATAGAGCTCTGGTATTTGTCCCTACCCTTGCCCTTGGAGAGAGAGTGGCGGAAGAAGTGGACTGTTCCTTTTATAACGGGAATAGGCGCAGCATGACGGACGAGGATCGGAACTCTGTTTACCATTCTTGGGTGAGAGGGGACAGCAAAATCATGGTCGCCACCAGCGCCTTTAGCACAGGCAATGACTACCCCAATGTCCGCCTCGTTATTCATCTTGACCGGCCTTGGGAGATGTTGGAATTCATCCAAGGACAGGGAAGGGCTGGTAGAGACGGCTTACCGGCTAAATGCTATGCCCTTGTTCCTCCCACAGCAAGCCGTCCCACTGCCCCAGCCCCAGACCACAAAGGCAAGACTGCAATGTATGAGCACCTTTACTTGTATGGTCTGAAGCGGTGCTTGCGATATGGGATTACTTTACACAATGACGGTATTGGAATCAGCTGCTGCTCCCTGAGTTCCAACCAACTCTGCTGCGTGTGCGCTCGCGATCCTAATCACAATCCCACGGACATACGAATCGCCCCTGCGCCTAGGCTTAGATGTGGATTTAGTGCGCCTTCTCTCCCTCCCTCCATCACACCAATACCTGCAGCCTCATCCAGCTTCCCACCCGCAGAAAATCCAGGTTTTGTCGAAGCCATGAAGCGTTCCAATAATCTTAGGTCTGAACGAGAGCAGGAGGTGACAGATCGCGTTCATAGTATCCGCAGGGCCCTGGAGTTTCTCAAGCACACTTGCAGTTTCTGTAAAATCTGGGGCGATCAGATAGGGGGTGACCATGAGCTTAGCCGGTGCCCGCGCCTTTCAATGTCTCAGCCCATTGTATCCTGGGGCCAGTACATAGAATGGCGGAGGGAGCTTGTCTACAGCGCCAACCACAAGAAGATATGCTACGCCTGCCACATCCCGCAAATCAATGATGATATGCACCGGCAATTTACCAAAGCAGGAAAGGGACTCACGTGCGAGTTCGCCGACATCGTGGCCCCCACAGCGTTAGGAATTTTCCTCCATCACCCCACGCAACAAGAAGCGGCAGTGCATTTTCGCCAGACGTTGCTGTGGTCCAGTCTAGCAAAATTTACGAACTGGCTGGTAGCCGAACCGCGGCCGGGATCTTACAGCAATCTTTTCGATCTTGTTTTGTGGTTCATAGGCACTAGAGAGGCACAGACATCGTAGTTTTTATCAGGATACATCCTTCATGTTTATCTACCTTGCATACACATTCACGTTTCACACGTTTCATCCGTTTCATCCATGTTTTTGTCCAGACGCATCAGGCGAGGCGATGGCGAGTGAAGTTGTTTCCATTTCTTGCATCCGCTCCAGACAGTCCAGCACGACTCCCAAAAAACGCAATTCGACCAAACCTTTTGGTGCCATAACCCTCTAGTGACCGCTCTTTTATACTTCTCGGGACTCGGCGCCTAAGCATACCATCCGTTCTCTAAGCCATCCCGTACTCCGTCGGATGACGCGTTCTCCATACTTTCCGATAGCGTCTACTTCTATTGCTGATTATTGACGAATTTATTATACAAGCTCAGCAAGAGAGCCAAGAGGGATCAAAGCAGAGTACATTCCAAAAGTCCATACCATCGTTGACCTTTCGCGCTCCAACTCCGGACGGTACAGCGCAGAGTTGGGGTAACCACAGGCAGGTCCTCATCCGTTGCATAACCATCATGCACTTCTATCAGGTTTCCGATAATGGGTTGTAGGCGAGTCCTAAATCTAAGAAAAGCCTCTTTATCCGCTTCCAAGTCGACGGGAGGCAGCCCAAATAGAAGTTTACACTATGCAGCTGCTCAGAGCCTGGCAAGATGCACAAGATATTATAGGTAACGCACCTCTGGTATGCAGGCAGAAACCGTTATAGTGCTTCCTTCATCATCTTCCAGTTGGAACATCAGTTTATAGAACCATTTACAGCCTGTGCCAAGGACGTCGTTGCAGCCAACACAATGTGTCTGAGGCCGGCGTAACCTAAACGGAAGTACATTAACGTCGCACACGGAACCTATGGGCATCGACTGACACTGTGTGACATTTAGGGCAACCCAGGAACGTGGCTTGATCCAAATACAAGGGCCAAAAATCAAGCACCCTCGCGATGAATGTGAATGTATCAGGGCATGCCGTGCTGGTGATGACTTGCAGCAAAGTCAGAGTCTCTGATGCCTCCGGAGTAGGAAGGTGTGATGTTGGAGGGGAGTTAGCCGGTGATTTGACGAACGGCGCGATCTGTTTCATTTCAAGCTTCCATGTTTCCTTGCGCCTGCCAAGAAGTATCAGCGACTAGCAACATGACAATGGTCCCGCCAGCACATACTGTAGAAGAGCTTTTACTTCGTCCTTCTCGTAGTCATCAGCAGCTATGATCGCTTGTTCATCACCTTTCAGACACCCAAAAGTACCGTTTACGCCAGGCCTCCGGATCAACCGTAGATTTTTTATTCTATACATCACGCCTGGCTGAAGATCACGAGCTCTCCCTTTCTGTCCACCCTCCAGGGCAATTTTAAGGATCCGGCGGTCAAGGCCAAGGGCCCAGGAAGCAGGCTCTGCTAGCTCGATGAGGTCAGGATTGAACGTGTAATCTGTGACATAGACTAATGGCTCTTCTGCAGAAGCAAGATCGGCATGAAGGACCTGTAAAGTATGTCATGAAGTGGATCAGAGAGGTCTCTATCAAACTCACCTCGACTGTGCAGTTGAATAGTCCTACTTCTTCGTCAAAATCTTCAATCAACCAGTTATCAAACCATACAGAAGGGCAGCCTTCCCCCTGCTGAAACTTCTTTTTGCGTCTGAAGAGCATGCGATAAGTGGAGTTTTGTAAAACCTACAACATAAACTTACTCTAGCAATGCGCAGAAATGCAGTTGTTCGCCATCTTGGACCTGATCAAGCTGTTTTGACTTATGGGTTTCCACCAATTTACCATAGATATGGAGGCAGGAGTCTACCATCGCACGTGCATTTGGGAGGTACCAGCATTGGCCGGGCTGCATCGTCTTCGCAAGGCGCCTCGCGTCGTCCCACATTTCAATTCTGAAGACATATGCGGCCAGCTCTGGCGAACACCAATTTGCTCGAGGAATGTTGGTGTGAGCATTTATGGTGTAGTCAGTGACGTATACGGTGCAGGATCCACTGCTGTTGTCATAGCTGTGCAAAACCTGGGCTTGTAAATCAGCTTCCCATTGACGATGGATTGTCTGTAGACTCACTTCGACGGTGCAATCAAAATAACCTTGAGGGAAGGCATCCGGTGCGACTTCAGAGATCAGATGATGCTCTCGCGAAGGCTGTGAGACACACTGCGCGGCTGTGATACCTTGCGATTTCTCTTGTATGGCCTGCCACCAGTCGGCCAGCTGAGCACAGTACTTCACTTCTTCACCTTGCATATTTGGCTCGTAGTAAGGCGAGTATGAACGACCAAGCCCTCGGTATGATGTTTCAGAACGCAAAGCATCCTCTTCGTCGGGTTTGCGGAAGCGCCGCATTTTGGTATCGTAGGTGACCCATCGAAGCTTATCCCAGTACCCTGTGCCATTGAGAGCCCCGCTGTTGAACGTGGTAGCCTTAAAAAATGTCGTGAGCAAGTGGAAAGGCGGTATGAGGGATCGCTTTATACCTTTAACCTCCAAAAAATAACGATGTCTCCAACTTCAGCCTGAGGGAGCCATGCAACGTGCTTTTTCTGGAAGCAATTGACTGTAAATTTATAAGCCAAACAATCTGCACCATATTCCATGCAGGATGGGTCGACAATGGAGAAAACACGGGTCCATTCTGTTACAAGGGTAAACAACGAGCCAACGATGACCGCCAACAGAGAAAATCCCACCCTGTGTGCGCGTTGATGTTGGAAGCTTGGCTGAAGTGACAACGCCAATGACGTTGAAGAATCCTAGTCCCACCTGAACGTTCCTAATTGGTATAAACTGGACCCCCTAGAAGCGGGTTTCGACTGAACTTGTGATGGTCTACTCCGAAGGCAGGAAACTCACCCTGCGCATAGCCAATCCAGCATTCATGGCCAGAGGTCCATGATTGGGTGCAGAGTCGTGCGCAGGAGTCAGTAAGGACACAGCTTCCCCTATTTGGGCGAGCCCGTTAGACGACGAAGCAGCCTGTTCAGAACTTGAGCTTGCGCCCTCCCTGGATGACACTTGTGGTGATTGTACAACGGGTGAGGGCAGAGATGCCGAAGCAACTACTACCTCTAAGGGGGGCGATACCGTCTCATGCCCGGTCGATTCCGGACAGGCCTCGGGAGCGGCTTGGATTGGTAGTTGTTTCTCCGCTGCCTGCCTTTGCCTCCTGCGCTTCTGTGCTTTTGTGAGCTCCCTTTCCGGTGACTGCGTGCTAGATTGAGAGATATCAGCCACTGAGGGGTTGCGATGCGGAAGGGGTATGAGGACGGGAGCTAGTTCTTCTTGCACCATCTGACAACCAACATTTTCAGGCTGCGGGCATTTAGATGGGGGGTTGGCGTCCCTTGCGTTATCTGTGGGTTCTTGCCGGACACGGGGAATGTCGGCGGTAGCGCCTAAGCGGCCTCCTGAAAATTAGGAAGGTCGCGTAAATACAGATTACTTCCGTGAACATGTCACTACGGCACAAAACAAATCACCTTCCCAAGTATTGAATACCTTGCCTGCTTCGGGTCCTGATATGAGCTTAGCTGCGATCCCATCATTGAATGTGAGCGCTATGGGCAGATAACCAGGGGCACAGGATGGTGCTCTTGTCCTGCTTTGCGCGCCTTTGAGAGAAAGGCAGATTCTGTCACCCACAATAAATGGGAAAGAATGCAATACATCGACTTTGGCGGAGATGTGAACAGGAAAACGGTAGAGGTTGCTGCCTTCCTGAACCTCAAGGATAACCTGGCGCTTCTCACCCATACAAGGAAAAACCATGTGTACTCTGGCTTCGAGATTGTCATATTCATGAATCTGGGGGTTGAGAATCTTGAGATCGTCCGCAGTCTTTCGACGCGTTTCATCGAATATGTTCTCTTCGCCTGACTCCGGGCGAGGTCCTCTGTTCGGAGTACATTCTTCTTCCAGCGATGTCCTTTTCATGACTGCGTTGGAGTGCGTGCAGGCTGGGCACCAAGGAAGGCTTGAGCCTCAGGTCTAGAAATTGTAAACTGCTTTTATGAGCAAAGATGATTGTGTAATGGGGCTAACCGTGCTGCTGCCGTGCTACATAATATGTACCTTGTACGCTCATCATTTTATGAAATAATTTGAAGTGCGGCACACACCTTGAATTCTGTGTCAGATATTTTGATCCATCTGCGTGATGCCAAAGACCTTTATAGATGAACTTTAAGGTCAGTGTGATATTTTCGAGTGTATGTGACAAGGATGTTTGCATCGGTGGCCTCAAACGCTCAGGGAAGTTTTTTGGACGGTATGTAAATACATGGGAGGTTACCGGTACCTACGATTCGGGATGACATAATATGTAATGTGCTTCAAGGTCACGTGCTGATCAGCCTCGAAATTCAACAAAGCTACCGCCAACCGCACCGAAACGACCGATTTTTCACAAGCGGCTTGAATTCTTGAACTTGACATTTGCCGTAACGGCGCCAAATTATACATGACTAGTCTTGGCTCCAGTTGTTCCCTGTGCACAGGCATGATCAATTCTTAAGAGTGCGTCAATCCTCGTTCGAGCTCGAGCCATGTTGATCCAAGCCGTTTCCCACTGCCGTTTGTAGTCTGTGAGCGTGTCGATCCTCCGAGTTCGAGCTCGAGCCATGCTGGTCCAAGTCGCTGCTCGCCGTTCGCAGTCTGTGAGTGTGTCAATTCTTCGGGCTCGAGCCATGCTGATTCATAAATAGGACGTGCTTCGCGACGATCACTGTGTAGAGATACAGTCCATGTTACTCTCTGTAGTATGCACAATTGGTCACAGATTGTACACATTTCTCATGTTGCGAATCTGCCAGGCCTCTGACTTATCACCCTTCGAGAACGCCGTGCGTGCAGTTCATTTCTGGTTAATTCTGAGGCTACTGATTGCGATGAACCTGCTTATTATTGACCATTTAGCTGTTGTCATTATCTTCGAACACCTTTTACATCTTCGATAAGTGGGGGTCTGATCCCTTTTCTTATGTCGCTCTGGAGCAGTACATGCCATCTCTGTGTGCAGCTGCTGTCAGGAAAGGTGTGTCTGATACTGTCCACGCTTATGCAAAAACTGTGGCTACTGCTGCGAAGGAGAAATATTTTTCGTGCTCTCGGGCGGAGGCGGAGTTAATCAAGGCCGTTCTTGGAATCCTTTCAAATCATTACCTGGGTATGTTTCAGCGCCATGTCGTGGCAGCAATCCTGCTGATCTGCTTGCCTTCGCAAAGACATCAATGTTAGATGGTGTTCCGAAGTGGAGCTGACGTGTCTTAGCAATGAGTGTGGGTTTCTTGAGTGGTACATTAAGGTAGTTTTAGGAGGTGGAACTGTACGAAATGGTTGTATAATCACAATATGGCGCTTTACCCGGTATAGTGTACACTACGCGTGTTTGAAGCATGTGGGTCACCCTCAGCCTAGATGGTGGTGAGATCTACTGGGCTTGATGTACTTCCGAATCCGAATCCAATCCAAGTGCATTGGGGTCGGGCATGCTCTACGTACCGTTGCTCCACAGCCTATCTCGACTTGCGCTGATATTTTCACATGAAAGCAGTACAGTTTTGTCATCTCAGATGTACATCGATATCATATATAAATGCATGAAAATTCAAACATCCCTGTCAATATCAGTGACACCGATTGACGGCTAAGACCAGTGGGCTGTTGGCGGACGATATCCTTCGAATCAAACAGCAGACGCATCTTGAAAGTTTTTATTGCTTTGAAAGACAGTGCAGATCATGATGGCTCTCGATTATGAAATCAGGTGGACAACCTAATTTATCATACGTGCGCTCAGTGCATCCCCGGGGCCTCGGTTGAAATTGCATCATTTTTGTTGTCACTAAACAACAAGTTCATCAACTACATGCATCATACTCTGGTATCTAATTGCATCTTCTTGTCGAGAAACTGAGATGACGCTGTCGTGGGACAAAGAATAAATCGACTTCTAAGATGTCTGCATTAGGTCCAAGGAGAGATTTCGAGTTGCAGCTTTGATGTCACTTACTATGCTATGGGTTTCAGTGCAACCCGCAGCCTTTCCGTGCTTGTCTTATTAATGTAAGAGTGTGTGTCTAAGAAGGACTATAAGAAAACACTCGCCTTTCTGATCAGTCTAATGAACTGAATCCCGCCGTGAGAGCTTGCTTGCATCCGCAGCGAACTGTAATCCAATACATTCGGAGATGGAGATGGAGATGGAGATGTATGTATGATGCGTTCGGAAAGTTCCTATTCGCAAAATCCCTGAATGGTCGAGTACCATCTCGAACCTGACCCTGGAACCATTACGCAGAGATCACTGATTTAAAGCTTAGACCAATAACGCACAAAGGAAATGAATATCATACTCCCTATGTGAACCCATGAGTATTTGCCGAAGGCAGGGTTCAATCACACACCATAGTTAACGTCAATTGTATGTTCTTTTCTGTTCTGAATTTTAACATCTGGTAGCGCCCAAAGACGCCATTATCAATTTCTTCGTTTGTGGCGGGCATTGGGATCTGTAGGAGGGGAAAGAGAATTTGAGAATTTGCAGAGAAGCAGAGTTATTATCATACCTTCTTTAATGTAAATTTGAGGTTATAGATGACTGAATGAAAGACGAGATCGGAGCTCGAGACATTCACATGCGATATATACATGTGCCCAGGGTGACCGTGAGAAGACAAGTTTAGGGCTCTCAAGTCCCAACTGGCCCGGCAGTATGCCATGGCTGCTCCAGTCATTCCCAGTAGCTTCCAGATTTACAAGTACGTCTGACAGTTCCAATCTTGTACACTGAAACACATGCATGAATTGCTACAGCTCATACGTCGAAGATCCTAAATGGCAAATTAAATTCACCATAATTTGGTGCTCTGGCTTGGCACTGGCTGTGGCCGTCTCAGTTCCGAGTTTACGCGGCGGTCCTGCTTTCCATGCACGCGTGCATTGATCAGTAATTTGAAACTTACATATACTACTTATACGGTCTTGACTCGTGATGTATCTTGTCGGCAGGTAGGCAACTCATCCTCTGGGAGTCAGCTCACGATTCACGATGGCTTCAGAAGAAAGTCCTTTGCTGGCGCTCGCAGCCCATGAAGCTATTTATAACAGATTCGCGCCACATCAAAAGATGTCGATTCTGTTCCATGTGTCCTTTGCGGGTTTGTTGGCTAGTGAGTACTGCGAGTTTAAGCGTACTGTTGACCCAGAGGCGTGATACTGACGAACATTGGTCAGTGTTTGTCCAAGTGACGTTCGTGCCTTCGATCCCTCGGATAGCTAAAGATCTCGACTTAACGGATGCTGTCGTCAGGTGTGTGTTGTATGCTCATCCGATGTGTAGTGATCGATTTCCCAGTTTGGCTTTTAGCATAGTAGCGGCGACACTTTGTCAACATATGATCGATGACTAGTATACTATATTTGCATCCAGCTATGGTTTTGTTGAAAATAATTTATCTTTCCTCATTTCTAGGCTCGAAGATTCTTATGCGTGGAGTGACTCCTTCCGTCCAGCGCGAGCCCTGGTTCTTGGACTACACGACAGTCATCGCCTGCCTGACTTCCCATACACTCGGGCATCTAGCTCTTTCTCTGCTGCCGTACAACTGTATCCCCGATCATCACAACTTAATACCGCAGAGGTGCGGCATCGGCGTTTTCGTGATATCTCACTTTGGTGTCATTTTGGTTGTGATGCCTTTCAGAGCGTTCACCATGTGTTTGCTCTCTACCCGGCCTTCTTGGCTATCCGTCATGCGTATAGCGAGCAGCTGTGTGACGAGTCCTCCTCGCTCCTTGAGGGTAAGACTACCGATCGTGTTCGGGAGGTCTTGGAACTGGCGGCTCGGCACTTATTTTCTGACGACGCGGGGCTTTGGCCACAATATCGAATGCGTTCTTACGCGAGTGTGGTACCCCCACTTGCACGTATTGTGCGCGACATGAGTGAGACAGAAGTGGGTGTATTACCCCTACAGTCACATGGTATGGGCAACTTTGCATCTAGCAATGCGGGTGTCTTATCCCCGCAGCTGGACAGTGCGATGATAGAACCTGGGCTATTGTCACGATTAGCACAGGCATGGCACGCGCATAGTACCCGGTTTGCAGGACATTTGGGGGACTACAAACGACGTATGAGGTCTCTCAATGCCGCTCCTTCTCACAAAGTGACATACAAGTCCTTGGACACTTATGCTTATCTGTTGCCGGCGAGTTTGCTGTCTTTACTTTGATTCGGGACGGTTTGGTTTCACTCGTAGTTGAGCCATCGAGGAACTTGAGCTTATGTGAACGTAGATGGCCAAATTCAAAATTCAAAATTCAAAATATCTCTGACCGTCATCTTCAAGTATTACTTGAGTCAAGCCACCAAAGCTTCAAGTCCACATGTGCCGTTTGGATCTTGACAGTTTTCGGGGACTGCAGGCTCTACTACCAACCCTTTTTGGGGCAAAAATACCGGGTGGTGATCCTGTCGAGGCCAAGGAACTGGCATCTGACACTTATTCTGCGCCTCCTTTGTCCTCATCCTTCTCGTAGCATTTGCCACGACGCTTTCGGCCAGGCCTAGGAGGTGAGAATGGCATCTTGGCTGTGACGTGTGTCTTCTTCTTGGGTATGACGCGCGTCTTCTTCTTGGAGCGCCGGCGGTTGGGGAGATCATCAAAATCCACATCTTCATTATTGCTGGCGTTATCGTCATCATCGCTATGGGCGCTGCCTGAGACTGAAATTAAGTCGCCGAAGGCAGTCTCATCGTTCTCGAATAGGCTTTCTTTGTAAAATCATTAGATATGTATATGCGGTCTTGAAGTATAATTTACAGCTTACTTATTTCCTTGTCAGCCCCGATAAAAGCTTCGTGCATAGCCCCTTTCGAAAATGATATATTGTTAAGAAAAACGTCCGCAGTTCGAAGGGCGATAGCTCGGTATATGTGGACCAATTTGGTCTGTGGATGACGGTAGATACGGCCGCGCAATTGGCGATCATCTTGTTCAGACCATAATGTGTCCTACAGTGCAATGGGTTAGTATTTTGTGTCAACTTCAGTGATTAGTAAGGCCACGCACCATAACAATCATGATATTGGCGCATGCCAAATTGAGACCTACTGCCCCCACTCCAGACAAAATCAAGACGCGAGGACCACTCTCACGAGTCGAAACCCTGAAACTCTCTAATACCGCCTTGCGCCTGTGCATAGGCGTCTTGCCGTTGAGTTCCACTGCCAGAATGCCATGGAGATCCAGAATCTTTACCGTGCGGTCAATGCGCAAAAATTCAGACAATAGGATGAGAGCTCACATCCAAAATGGCTTGGTTAGAGCTAGGGAAAGCTGAATATACCACAATCCGGTCTGGGTCCTTTTTATCAGACACTGAAGCAGGAGTTTGAAACCCTGGGTTAGGCACAAGGACACGCCCTTTCTCATCCATTTCCAGGGGTGGCCGATCGTCTTCCATCAGGTGATAGCTGACCAATTGTCCAAGTACATCAAGCTTCACGCTTTTGTGCGGTCCTTTGTCCCATGCCTCGAGCGAGGCTGGCTTGACCCATGGGTGGACCTCAGAAGGATTCATGTGAGGATGTAGCACTGCCCGCCGAAATTCAATGTAAAAATTCTATTGATAAAAAATGTCAGCGCGGATTCTCTGGGAGGGTATGAGTTCGACTGCGAGGGGTCGCCTGGCTATGATCTGGGGTATGCGCGCCCAAGACAGCGCTTGAGAAGGCTGAAACTGTGCACAATGGACTTACTCGACTAGCTGCTCCCACTCCTACAACCGGCGAGTCCTGCAAATACCCCTTGGCGATTTCTCGCAAGTTACTCATCTCCCAAGGCAGAAGATGCATTCGCAGTGTATGATCATGGCAGGGAGGGAGCCCAAGGATTTTTGTCCCAGTGTTATCTACCGAGTCGAGATTTCGTAGGATAATTGCAGGTGCGAACCATCCACGCATTTGGCCCATCCATTTTTTCATCACAGGGCCATATTCATCCTGGGCGCGATCAGGATTCTCTGCGCCAACCAATAATCCACGAAGAACCGACCCTTCTACGCCAGCCTCCTTCTGCGCCTTGCGATCTTTCCGTAGTGCTGATGATAATTCCTTGTTCATTTCCCGATAGGTCTCGCTGTCCTGGAAGCTGGTCAACCCCAGGACCTGACCCATGAGCCAGAGGTCCTATAGTGAAGTCAGCAGTACGACTTGCTTTGTTTAAACTCATGGCTTACCGCAGGCTTTGTAGTCACTGGAGTAGCAGTCATAGCCACAACGATCAAGCACCTCTGCGACAAGCCACGACAAGCCAGGTGCACTTTGTTGTATTTTCGAACGACATGTGCTTCGTCCACAATCATCATACCGTAATCACGACCGTAAATGGTTTTATCGTGGACTTGATCATAACGGGCACTTTTGCGTGGGCGCCCAGGATCCTCACGAGGTCCATCGCCAAAAATTGTGGCAGCATCATCCTGAATAGCCTGTGCAGGGTTCAGCCTGATACGCGAGTCTGGCTACCAGGTCATACGGAACGACTTACCAGAGTTGTCGCCAATACCACTCGTCTACAAAGCGGTTGCTGGCATTTGGCCCACACCTTGCTCCACCAATCCTTCCGGCTGTCGTACTTCCCAACATAAGGCAGAACGTCAAAGGTTGCTCGCCGCAAGTACCTTTCAATTTCTCCAATCCACTGGTGGTGTAAGTTTGGGGGGCAGATGATGACGGTAGGCAGGTCAGGCAAATTTCCACCGGTCTTGGTGCATTTCCGCGAAGCTGGATGGCGTTCAAATCAGCAATGCTTAAGGCGCTAGATTCATGTCCAAGACCATGACCTACCAAATTTCCCAGGAAATCTGTTGTGCTTCTTATAGTACTCTTGATAGTGGGCTAAACTCGCAACGACAGCAACTGCTTGCATTGTTTTCCCGATACCAACGCCATCCATGAGCATAACGGGCTCACCCATTAGTGCTCGATCTACCATTCTCAAAATCCCCACAAGTTGGTGCCAGCGGGGAGCCAATGTAACCCCATTGACGGTATCATCCAACCATGCCTGGCCTTCTTCAGTCCACGGCGAGATCATACCGTCAGGGTCAGTGCAGGTCTGGAAAAATGGAAGTTGTTGTACGCCAAGTTGTTGCCAAAGGTCATCCACAGAGCACCCAGCGTACTCCTCCACGCCGCTCCTCCAGTCTGTCAGAGTAATAGTTTCCTCGAAGTCAATATGCACCTCATCACCTGGCGTCGCCGTATCCAACGTGGCATGGATCAAAGCCTCGAGCTCTTTGACCTCAGCCTCTGTGGCAAGCTTCTCCAGAGCCTCTCGGAGGACTTTTGGAAGTCCTGTAATATGAATATGTAAGGCGAGTGTTATGAGATATCCCAAGCCCAATATCATCAGCGCTCACTCTGAATGGCTCCAGCTGTGGAATCGCGTTTAGCAGTGGCGAGCATGGCTACTAGACACTGGCGTCGCTCCTCCATTTTTTGAAGAGATTCAGGGTCCTTGAACAGGCTAAGAAGTTTGACATAAGATTCTACCCGTCGCATGTACCCCCTTAGGTGCGCCATAGTGGGACGCGCATCTGGACCTGCGATCTCTGTGCACAAAGTTGAAGTCGGAAAACCGGTCTAGCTATATCACTCACTGTTCCATTGCTCTTCCACATCTCGAGCTTTATTGGCAAGATCCGACCTTTGCCGTTTCACCGTCTTGCGGTACCGATTCCATGTGATCACTATCACGTGAGTAATGAACGTAGCAATGGGAGTGCATAGAAAGTCCCCAGAAGTGAAAGCATCATCACCAAATAGAGTAAAAGAAAGCTTCTTAGAGACCGCCATCTCAACTTGGGCTTCTCGTAGCAATGGGAACTGAATATTGAATACCAATAACAGCATCATATCAGTGAGTCGGTTACTCAGCTTAACTGCCTCTCACCTCTTGCTGGTTTGTAATTCCATGCCGCACTAGCACTTCATGGGGGCTACAGTTCTCCTGAGCAAAAACGTCATCAATGATGGCGTTCAATTTCCACGTCTTGGCCCAATGCTCTTTAACCCACTTATTCCATAGGGTGCGGCCGTCTGCATCGTCATCATTGCGCTGAGCAAAGTATTGCACCAGGGAATCTTTCCTTGCTTGGCAGTTAGTCATGAACTTCTGAACGGCCCTAGCCTGAGCCACGGTCCATTCATCTACAAATGTGGAATGCGCCTGCAAGTCAGTTTCATGGTCGTGCATCCATGGTTCGCCGTTGATGCCCGTTAGAGTCTGCCATGTTGCATTCAACCAGAGCAGGTCAGGTTTTGCTACCCACAGGGCAATGAGTGCCAGTTGTAATGAAGTAGAAGGCATCAGTTTGGAGGGATGTAATGACGAGAGTCAGTCGACGCCTATTACTATGATTCGGCTATGCCACATTTAAGTAATTTGATGGTTCAAGTAATACTGAACACCATTGGTCACATGATATTCCCACAGTCAGATCTCAGATCTCGGACTATTCATCGATCATCAACGATGTGTTTTCAGTGTCATAAAATTCAATATTATGTAGTAAAAGCTGCTCAGATGACTTCAGATCAATATCAGTGCTAAAGGCGGACTTGATACCTTGAAAGAGCTTAACTTATCTTTCTATTGGATTGCCTGGTAGTGATCTGTCGTCGCAGAAAAGAGCTGCGGACCAGCAGCTTGGAACTCCTCAATTTGCCCGAAGTCTTACAGAAGTTTATTCGTAACTTCTGCGCTCGACGCAATTTCAATGCCACTACGAACGGACCTAGATCTCTTCATCTCTTCATCCAGACAGCGCAAACCCATGACTTCTTACTACTAGTCACGGCTCAGCAAATGAGATGGAGTGGAAGCCTGTTCGGTTTGACGTCTCTTACCCTCCGGATCAAACAATGTGGACGTGGATCCCGATTTCGCTCGTTGTGCCAGGTGATACGCCTTTCAGTCAACCACTTTGAGCACCATCCAAACGTCGAAACACTGAAGGTGTGCAGACGGATCCAGTCCAGTGCCAAAACAGGTCGTTCCAGTTCTTTGATATGTGAGGCGGTCTCATCTAATAGCTCGACGAGCTTCAAGGACATGCGTGATACTAAGATTTGGGACGTACTTGTGACTGAATCAGTCCGCATCTATCTGCGATTGACGTATCAAGATTTGGATCTCCTCCATGACGCAATGAACTGCTCCTTGCGATCCTGATGAAAACCAAGCCGTGTAGCCATGTGCTAAGATCAGGACTTTCCTCGGATGCGGTAGGACACGGCCTGACACAGCTCACTGTGCCTGAAAGAAAACTGAAGAGGTGAGGATCAAACACGGACCGAGCACTTGAGGATCTTCGGTCGCCGAAGCACAAGGGTCCGAGAGCCATACAGGAAGACCGAGTAAGGATACCGACGCTATTGCAATAGATATAATTGTGGTCATTCGATATGTTGTCTCTTACCGAACCATCAAAATGCTCGCGTCTCATCGCGTGTTGTTAAACGGACAGCACAATCGCAAAACCAATAAGTACTGGTTCAATTATTTTCTGAGAGGGCGTATGAGTTGCCGTCATCGATGTCGATTTCTGTTGTCTATCATCACAGCGTGGATATCACTGGGGAACAAAATAAAAGCCTCATCTGATGACGGTGAAGGACTTGACTCTGCGCTATGAGTATCATCCCGCCAGTAGCCCTTAGAGATGAGCGTGATCGCTCAGAGACCAGGTACTCCCAAATTGCTATTAGATAGTCTGAGATATCAACGTCTTCGTGATCTAGACATTGAAAATAATAAACGGTCTCTGTTCCAGAACTAGGCGACAAAGATCGAGCAACTCACCTAGACTCGCAAGCCTCGACTCCCCGGATTTCAGCTAACCTTGAAAGAAAATCGGTTGACCTACCCAATGAAAGACGTGACACTAGAAATGAAGTACCAAACAGCTGGACGGAGATTATATAGGATTCTTGTAAATAGGTTCGGTTAAATATATGGTTATGTTAACCCCTAGGCCCCGAAAAACGAAAATGGAAGGCCTACAAAATCCATTTTGGTAATCTATCATTACAAAATACAGCATATATAGCATATATCAAGTGTAGATCTAACTGGTACATTATAGCATCATAATGACATAACATACATCACACAAACTCATGGCTATACACACCAAAAATTCTTAATACATATATAGTATATCTAATGTTGACCTGTGATAGCGTTGAAAAATGGAGAAAATATCATATAGAAAGTATCATATCATATGGGAATAATATACGGTATAATGTATTCTAACGTCCGCGGTCGCCACAGGTCTATTGGCGGAACAACGGGAGCAAAAGAACGAATCAAACATACATACATGAACAGATAAATATAGTAAATTTCCGCACTTGGAACTGGTCCATCTGCGGACGTTAACAAGTTAATAGTCTATAATATATCATATATCATATATAAATGATAAAGATAAAGATAAAGATAGTAAAGATATATACCTTCTATCGACGCCAAAACAACATCACGTGATAACATCACGTGATGCTCGCGGACCTCCAGTGAACATGAGGCAGAGGCACAGGGCGAAGGGCGGAAGGCTAGGGTAAACCAAAAATCTGGGAGCCGGATAATAAAAATTTTCACTGTTAGTTACTTACCATCGTGTTGCCGTTGCGTTGCCCCACAAGATCAACAAATTTTCGAGCTAAATGGCACCAAAGAAAGCTAAAGGAGGAGGAAAGAAGGGAGGATCTGGAGGAGTAAGCGTTTGGCATTGATCAGCGCGAGGAAAGACTAACCAATGGCACACTAATGTTAGGATGAAGGTGGATCGCACCTGCTACTGAATCAGCGTCCGATAGAGGCAGCACCTCCGAAGATAGACCTAGGCAAGGAGACGCAAAAGTTAGACTCACGGGTAGCAAAATGCAGAGCTGGCGTTGCATGGGTCAATCTGCTGCAGATCGGAGACACCCTAAAGTTCGGCGTGTACAACGATCGCCCTGAAAACGACGCGGAAACGAGCAAACTGGTGGCGGCGTTCAAGACCCGCATCGTGCCTATGAAAGAAACATCAGCAATCCCAATCATTGTCGATCTTAAGCGGGTTGGGAACAAGGACTCACTGTTGCAAACGTTTGATGAGCCGGAGAAGGTATGCGAGCTGACAGTGAAGGATACGAACCCTATTGTAGTCGCGTCTGGTCAGCATCGTCTCTCGGCGTTGAGACGATACGCACAATCTGTACAAGATGAGTACGATTCGCTGGAGAAAAGGCGGATGAAGATAATCGGCATGCCAAAGCCCTCTGCGGATCATGTGCAGCAGCACAATCAGTACCGAGCAATTCAGGAAGAATTACGATGGACTCTCGACAACATTGGTCAGTGGGGAGTGATCGTCTACGATCAAGGTAAGCACTTATCTGTTGTTATCACGGGTGTCCATCTATGTGCATGTGTACACACGTGTCACATGTCAGCGTATCGTATAGTGCGTATGCGAAGCACTTACGATGAAGGATGTCCGCGCAGGCCACTGTTCCAAGCGCGGACAACGAGACACTAAACGTCTCCTTCAACACACGATAACTCGTGTGCTGAAAACCAGCTTACGCGTCAAAGTGACACAAGCGTGTAGTGTAAATGACAAACCTTGACGTGGTCCGCGCATGGAACAGTGGCCTACGCGGACCACGCACCAACGAACCCTTTCATACGCGGTTGGAACTGTTCCAACTGCGGCGAGATCAGCACGCTGTGGATAAAGACTGACGAACTTACTTACAGAGAAGTTGCTTGCGGACGGGGACGAGTTAGCAATCCATTTAAGTCGCAACAATACGTTACATGAATATGGGGAGACGCACGAGGAGACGCTCGTACGAGCGTTGAAAAGAGCGAAGGTCGTGTACGATACCTCGCCTGAAGACACACGAGATGGTCTGGCGACAAATATGCTAGCCGATATTCGCACTTCAGCAGATAAAAACTCACGTTTGCAGAAAGTCCTGCACCATGACAGGCTATGCCTGTTTCTCGCGACGCGACTTCTCGCCTTAGGACCACACGTGAGACATCGACCGGAATTCTCGGTGACATGGCTGTCGAAAGCAATCGATGTGTGCATGGGAGTAAGTCTATTGTTGAAGATTGAGAACGTTGAGATGACTTACGTTCTGATACAGGTCTATATATCTTGGTTGGAAATACGCATCAGCACGTTGAGGAAGTTAGGATCGATAGACGAGTTTGCGAGTTATGATACTGTGGTGCAGCTCCAGGAGCGAGCCGAGGAAGGGGACGAGGAGGCGAAGAAACAACTGAAGACGTTACGGGAAACGATGAAGAAGTCGAGCAGTTCGTTCGACATGTCCATGTGGACACAAGTCCTAGCAGCCATGGACAAGCACGCGAAGGATGCGTTCGGTGAGCTGACGGACATTATTGGGGACATGTCCCCCAAGTACATCATGCACCTTAGTTCCTATCGCTCGAAAGTCATCAAAACGTTGCGGGACAGGTGGAATCTTACCTCGCACGCGAATTTCCAGGACAATCCAATTTTAACTCACCTTGACCGCATCGTTGCACGCGTCGCGCTTCACCTCACGCCTCAGGAAGGCAAGAAAAACGCCCCGGAACCTCTGCTCGGTGGCTTCATGATGTCGTACGCTTGGGCGTCGTTCACGAAGATTGAGAAAGGAATTGCAGAGGTAAGTCATCATTTGTCTGAGGAAGTGCAATGCGACCGGCTCACGTATGAATGCATCGACAGGTCTGTCGATGGTTCGAGACCCTGCTCGACTATTACCGGATGCTGCACCCGAAAACCCACACGATGGACGATTGGTCCAGCGTGATGATGGCTAACATCGGGAAAGACCCGCGTTTCGTCGACCACGGGCACAATAACCCAAGGGAGGTCTGTACCTACGTCGTAAGGAGATCAAAACAGGACGCTGACTTCGCTGATACAGGTCACGAAGATCATCTGGACTCACCGACGTACGTTAATGATGCGTTTGACTAACTGCATGGTTTATGACAAGCATTCGCTTGTGAAACGACCTACCGAAAAGAAAGCCCTCGACGCGGAATACCTGAAGCTACCAGAGGCCGAGATACTCGCAAGTGAGGCGCTCTCGAAGTTTCTCACTTCGAAGAGGTCGAAGAATGGCCCGAAGAGCCGGAACTTAGCGATGGAATCGCAAGCGATTGCAGGAATGATGGCCCTGCACACCACGAGCTGGGATTGGCTTAGTCCGTCCCTCAAGAACGGGACCCGAGACATCGAGCCGGTCATGAAGGCCATCGCAGTTGAAAGGATGTACCTCACCAAGTACCGTCCCAAGCTCCTCAACGACAAGTACGTCGGGGCACTTCGTAGGCTCATCGAGCAGGCACTAGCGCCTCGCCTCGAAAAGGTACAAATCCTAGGTGGGGCAGGTCAGCTCAAAACCGTTCAGGAATGGGTCTGGTGGGACGGACTCAAACTCGGCGAGTCCCAAATGGACCCCAAGGATGTCCTGAAGACGATCGAAGACACCACCATCGTTGAACAGCAAAAGACGCGTGACCGTCTTCTGCTCGAGGAGAGGGACCGGGAGGCTCTCAATAAACTCGTCACATACGTCATGGGCATGCCATGTGTCCGATCGACATCCAGTGCAACCTCCCTGCTATCCGCAGACGTTGCACATCCGTTCATCGACATGATTAAAGTAAGTCCCCACCCGCCGTGGCCACTGGTCTATGCGCGGCGTATGTGTACCTATGCACCCTTTTGTACCATGCAACCTCTGCATAGAGGTTGCATGGTATAGAAGGGTGCATAGGTACATACGTCCGCGGATGCCACTGTGGCATCTGCGTCGAATCAGTGAGCTGATAGTATCTTCAACAGGGGATAGAACTCAATGGTGCTAGACTTCGTGATCGTCTGTTAAACGACGATCCCACGAAACTGTTTGTCATCGACGGCCATTCTGTCGAACTTGGTATCTCTGTACCGGAGGCATACGAAGATCTGTTCACGCAGGTAAGTGATGTCGTACTGTACATATATCGCAAGACATGCGTTCTATGTATAATGTGCATATTTCTACCTACTCACTTACATTATGGTCTTACAGGGCAATAATAGGACATCGGCCGAACACGGTGCCGACGAAAACTTGGAGGAGGAGCCTGCTCCGAAAAAGAAGAAGAAGAAAGGGAAGAGCCGGGCAGTTCACATCGACACTCCACCCGTCCCGGAGCAAGACACAGAACCGGATGATGCGCCCGCACGCTCTGCGTCTGCTCCTCCTCACAATGTCGACGATAACGATGCTCGTGGGCACAGTCCCATGACTGGATCGCAGCAGTCTGATCTTCCTGCAACGTCCAAACCATCGAAGACTTCGTCCGGTAAGCCAAAGCCTCGTCCCGTCCCTCGCAAACAACGACAAGCATCCCCTCCTCCCTTGGATGACGACATCGAAATTCTCGACGACTCTCTCAACTCTGGAGGTCACGATGTTCGCACTAACGATGACGGTACGTACATGCATTGACATGTCTTCACCCTGTCTGCACTAATCATTCGTCGTGTTATTCAATCACAGATGTTGTCACTCCACGTCCTCCCGTTCGCCCTCTCACCGAAGACAGTGTCTCTTCGGATGGACCGTCTGGTACCGTTGAGACCGACCAAGGCCCCGCCCAGGCCACTGTTCCATCCGCGGCTGTTTCAACAGGTATGTCGCACGTTATATATATTAGCATGTTATGTACATAGTCCGATTATAATATAGGTACTCCAGGTATTTCCGCCCAAGGAACTGTTGCATCTGCGGGCGACACGTTAGGTATGTGTCCATTATTTGCTTGTATCAATACACTATCTAATATCGTATCTATCATGTAGTACGTCCTCTGTCTTCCGCCGTCGCCACGGTTGCATCTGTGGCTCATGACAACGATGCTGGTGAGTTGAAGGTCAATTTATCTCATACTCATTCATCTCTCTAACTTGCTTTATAGGTGGTATCTTCACTGGGACCATCCCGCCCCTTACTCCATCCCCTGACGGACTCCCTCATGGATTCGGGACTGGCGACACCAGTTGGTTTGATCCCAACGATGAGGATGAAGACCAAGATATGCAGGATCGTCGCAGCTCCAGCGAGGAGGACGTGGAGGACGAAGATACCCGCAGCACAAGTCGTGCATCTGACGTTGACGACCCTCACGACAAAAGTAAGTCCGCCGTTGCCTCTGTTCCATGCGCGGCGACTTAATGTTTCTTACCTTCATATTGCAGCATACGTGCCAACCCAGCCGTTGACGCAAAACTGTTTGCCCCCTCGCAACAAAGGTGCGTATCACTTATCACATGTGTTTTTTAAAATATCTTAACCTAACCCCCTTAGAACCTCGCGTCGTCGCAACTGGTCCTACCAAACGTGCGCGTGCTGAAACAGGTCCGTTCGCGTCTTGATTTTATTTTTGATGTTATAAGATTATTATTAAATTCATTTCTTTTCAATCACTTAGGCGCTTCATCGTCATCTTCGACCCATGGCCGTGGCAGACAGACGAAGAAGAAACCCAAGGTCAACGTCCAAAGCTCCGATGAAGAGGACGACGAAACAATTGTCCCGGGCGTTTGAACATTTCGTTTTAACATTTCGTTTTTACATGCTGTTTTTTCAATATCGCACATTGTACTCCATGTTTCTTCTTTACCTGCTTGTCTTGTCGCTGTTGTCTTGATCTTTTTGCGTTGTTTCTTGTACGTTCGGGTGTCTCGCTGTTTGCTTGTCGATGTCATGTTTTCAGATACATAATATGTCAAATACGTCGAATACTGTCTTCTTTTTGTATGTTTTCCGTTTTCGATATGCTGCCTTTTTACGCTCTTGTCATTGCTATGTTCGATGTGTCTCTTTCACCTTACGTTTTCAAGTCGTTAAATACATTCGATCAATCGATGTACTTTCTGTGATATCACGGTGTGTTCGCGTGAATCTCTCTGTCGTTTGCATTCAATCACGCCCTAATAAATGAGTTCAATATTTTCTATGCTATTGCAAGCCGTGAATGCATGAATCCGTTGGTCTATCTCCATCTCCTGAATGAGTCTGTTGAATGTTGATCTCCTGCAGTTTTCAATGACGCTTTTGGCATTTGCTGTTCGGCTGTCTGCTGTTGCATATTTCTAGCTCTTTTCATGCACTTGCTGTGTGATCATTCAACGAACGTTGTGTCCTGCTGATTTCGTTTCATTTGTGTCGTCTTTCCTTCTTGTAAGCTCTTCCCTTCCTGTGCTATGATATACTGATGCAATCCTTGTTTGTCATTTGCCCCGCAAACTACCTGTCATACATCCTAATTCGCTTTACGACCGTTCAATGACGCTCATGTCATTTATTCTCTCTCTTGCTATCTTCTTAATGTCCCATGTCCATCCTCTGCTCAGTCATTCATGTGAGTCGCTGTCTCCTTCCCTGGCCTTTCACTTTTGCAGGTACTTTCTCTTGCATATGCCATCATATGCGTCTCTTTCGCTCCCCGATCGTATGATATCCATAATGCGACTCCCTGTGAATATCTTTGTCTCGTAATATCCCTGCTCAATCCTTTCTCGTCTCGCTAACCATTTTAAAATTGAGTTCAGAGCTAAAACGTCGCCTCGCGCTAAACTCGGACCTTGCTCTATGGATCGTCGATCCATTTAGCAAAGTGTTCCGCCGGTTTCGTCCAATAACTTTGTTTGTCGACCCTGTCTCGCTTCCCTCTGCCCTCTGTCATCTCCCAAGTCCTGTCCTGCCCATGACATGTTCCTTTGGGGTCGTGGAACGCTCTCTTTTGCCCATTGTTCTGACACAAAGTTTGGATAGCAAGCACCTTCGTTCATTCGTTCGTCCCGTCCTTTTCGGTTTACTTTCATTTCCTGGCCTTTTCCTTTTAATGATCTCTTCAGGTACCTCGATCGTCTCCTTGCTGACCCAAATTTTAAACTAGCACCCATACATGCTGCCGGCACCGCTGCAATATCATATGCCTCAATGTTCGTTTAGATCTGTCCCGTTCGGATCCTGTACTAAAATTTTCAATTTCCAAATGAAGTGGGACCTCTCAGTCGCCCTCTTCTTGCTCTTCTCTTTGCTCTGACCCATTTCAGTGCTGTCCCTAGTCTCGACACGCCCCTCCACACACATCCTTCTCGACTCTGACCCGTATTGTCTTTAAGTTCGACTTAGCATGTCAGACCACGACGACCTAGAGTGAGTGTCATTTCATTCTCCCTTCTCATGTCCATGTCCAAATGCTGGTTGCTCACGCTTTCCTCAAAGGTTCAACAGCGATGACGACGATCTCGCCACCTTCACTTTCCAAGGTGCAGCCCGACAAGGCGATCAGGACGAGCCTCGCCCATTTGATCTTGCGGATGTGCCTGCCTCAGTTGAGGCAGAAGATGCCTTGCCACAGAGCGACATCTTCGAGTGTCTCTTCATGAGCCAGGATAATTCGCGCCCTGCAGGCCGTACATGGGAACAGACCAAGGTACAGCCCATCAGCTTGTCCACCCTCGCAAGAACTTTCAAAAAGGGCGACAAAGCGACTGCAATCAATTTGCTCCATCGTCGTTCTGTTCTTCGCCTCGACGACGACTTTTACTATCCTAGCGATGACGAGATGTTGGCTTGGGACGCCTCCCAGCATTTTCTTGATTTCTGCCTCGTCGTAGGAGGCTCTGTTGGTTTGCACGCCTTGCTTCCGAACAAGGTGGTCGACCACACCTTCTCCATCGCCCTCAACCTTTGTCTTCCTACTCGTCTCTTTCGCCCCAAATTTGGCAAGTTAGGTTTTGATCCAACGGGCTGCATGATGGCTCTTGGAACCGGTCCTTCATCTGAATTATGGCTGGCTTTTTGCCCTCGGGAGAACTTGGAAGACATCGACATTGCTAACGACGTCTCCCTTCTCAGCGAAAGACAGCACGGCGACACGAGGCTCTCATCGTCTCACTTTCGCATGGCCGTGATGTTCCTCGCTTACGCTCTCTCAAAAAACCCGTCTCTATCCATCTACGTTATGCATCACTATGGCACCGACGACGACCTCGCCGCATGGAGGATCAAGGACGTGTCAAACATATAGTGAGTGTAGGCTTTCTCGACATTTCCATTTGCTTTCTGTGACATCTGCCATATCCTTCCTTCTTCGTTCCCGTCATCCCATCCCCATGCCATGTATCTCCCAGACCCCACGTCAATAATTCCCGCCCATGGCATGTCATACCCGCAGTCGCAACGGTGGCGACGGGGAATCATGGCGGACATGCTCATGATTTTCTGTCATCTTACTCTATATCGATCATAGGGGCGTCTGTTGGTATAACACATGCCTATCCATACTACTTACCATACAATCCCTTGCTGTGGAATTGGTATCTACATTAGTATTACAACTATTTCATTTTCATGTTTCATCCGCCGTTGCACCCGTGGCCAGCGCGTCTTATTCATTGCATCCTCGTTCTAAGTCAACACTGCTGACTGATTTCCATTGCCGTTATTTGTAGCTCCCAGGGCACTTGGAACTTGCGTTTGAATGATTTGCAAGCACTCCACAACACCATAGCTTCTGATTGGGATGATTGGGTGGCCGCAGCCCCAAGGTCCTGGAAGCACGATGGTTGGCTCCTGAGTCGTGCTCCCATCGCTGTCTCTTGTCGCTACGGTCAGAATCAACCAATCGCTGCTGCTAACGACCGTACCCATGCCATAGAAGCTAAGAACTGGCATGCAGAAAGATCTTACGCCAACATAAGATACGTGTCAGTTGCTATCGCCACAGACATCACGTACGTCCTCTCAATGTTTTTGGGTGTCTCATCCTCCCTTCTACCTGCCCAAACACTTACTCCTTGTATTGATAGATGCACGAGGGTCAAACGATGGTCGGAGGTCCCCAACGACGAGATCATCCAAACGCATGGCGTGGTGTACGACTCTCCAGACCCTGACATTCGTGAGGAAGTAGATCTCGACGATCTCCCTCATCGTGATCCTCTCACCCGTCGTGAGAACAATGTTTACGATGAGGACGGTCGTCGCATTCCTCGGTTGCATGGCAAGACTCGTCGCAATTCAAAACCATGCGGACTCCTCGTCAACTTGGAGACAATATCCGAGTTGTTTTCCTCCTACATTCCGGACCATGGAGACATGACCATGGACCAAGATGCCTATGCAGGAGAAGAGGACTCCCTGCCGTCAGTCTCAGTCTTCCCTCAGGCTTTCCTTCGTACAATGGGCCATATTCAATGCGACGCTGTCCTTCCTCATTTCGCTCCTTTCATATCTGATATAAGGCATGCCACTTCCCGCAGACCTCGCACCGTTAACCTGGACGACGACCAACCTCTCCCTGACGAGTATGATCTCTTCGGAGATGCTGTGGATGGCATCAATGGTGTTCCCCCCGTAGTCATTCCCAGCGCCTGTCAGTTTTATAACGAGATCTCTCATCGCATCCGTCCCTCCGCTGCTCTTCATGACGTCCAACAAGGACGTATCACTTCTGCTCTGGCGGGCGCATATGGCAATGCTGCCACTAAAATTACTCACAACACTCGAGTCCGTGAATGCACCATGAGTCTTCCCCATCAGCGATATGACAACAAAATCGGCCTCGACGACGTTCCTCGCGCCTTGCGTCTCGAAAATATATACATTATTCAATGTGATTCCATAAAGCCCGAGAAACGCAACGGAATGTCAGCTCGATCTTGTTTTTATTTTTTCCTGCTTCCTCAAACATTTTTTCATTCAGGTCGATTCTAACCATGTTTTTGCAACTACCTTTAGGTTATGCTTGCGTTATGGTATCTCAAAGGCCCTCATTTTGCGCAAATATGCAAATGTCATATTTGTGTGAAACATAAGTACCCTCATTTTGCGCAAATATGCAAATGTCATATTTGTGTGAAACATAAGTACCCTCATTTTGCGCAAATATGCAAATGTCATATTTGTGTGAAACATAGTACCCTCATTTTGCGCAAATATGCAAATGTCATATTTGTGTGAAAAGTATGTACCCTCATTTTGCGCAAATATGCAAATGTCATATTTGTGTGAAACATATGTAACCTCCTCTTCTTAAAATATGTAAAAGGCCCTCATTTTGCGCAAATATGCAAATGTCATATTTGTGTGAAAAGTATGTACCCTCATTTTGCGCAAATATGCACATGTCATATTTGTGTGAAACATAAGTACCCTCATTTTGCGCAAATATGCACATGTCATATTTGTGTGAAACATAAGTACCCTCATTTTGCGCAAATATGCACATGTCATATTTGTGTGAAACATAAGTACCCTCATTTTGCGCAAATATGCACATGTCATATTTGTGTGAAACATAAGTACCCTTATTTTGCGCAAATATGCACATGTCATATTTGTGTGAAACATAAGTACCCTTATTTTGCGCAAATATGCACATGTCATATTTGTGTGAAACATAGTACCCTTATTTTGCGCAAATATGCACATGTCATATTTGTGTGAAACATATGTACCCTCATCTTGCGCAAATATGCACATGTCATATTTGTGTGAAACATATGTAACCACAGCATGAAAAATCTGAAAAGGCCCTCATTTTGTGCATATATGCACATGTCATATTCGCGTGATAAATATGCACCCTCATCTTGCACAAATATAAACTTTTCATATTTGTGGGAAAAGTATGTACCCTCATCTTGCACAAATATAACCATCTCATATTTGTGTGGAATTACCATATCATGTAAATAAAGTCAGTGTGTCAGTCTGGAGTCCGGACACTCTGAGTGTGTTATTATACAAGGTTGAGATCGCCATATGTAGTCTTTGTATACCAAAGTCAGTCAGGTCAGTCTGGACACTCTGAGTGTATTATTATACAAGGTTGAGATTACCATATGTAGTCTTTGTATACCAAAGTCAGTCAGGGCAGTCTGGAGTAGTCTACAATATGGTATAGTCCAGACTGACCTGACTGACTTTGGTATACAAAGACTACATATGGTAATCTCAACCTTGTATAATAATATATCAGAAAACCTATATTTTTCCTGGTTGATCTGTAGGGCCTAATACCAGCACATTCAGCACCATCAGACATCAGACCCAGTGAAAGTCGGACATACGGGTTTCAACCCGCAGCAACACACATATACTGTGGCTGTGGCACTTTGTATTGCATACACACGCGTCGGTATCTGCGCTTTCCGTAGCTGCGAAAACGACGCGCATCGGCGCTGGTGTATGCTTTTCGATGCGTCGACTACTAGATATAATCCTGTAGATCTGAATATAAATATGTATCCCTTTGATATCTTGCTGGTTTCAACGCAAATATACGGAAATCGATGTATTGCAACATAGCATACAATACAAAACATGCCAATAAAATCCACCCGCGCTGGTTCGCGCCAGCTCCTCCGTCCAGGATTGTCCTACCCTGGTGCCCAGCTAATGCAACGTGCCGCTAAAGAACTTCGTAAGGACTTCGGTCCACACACGGTCGCCAATCTAGATAGAATACACAAATAAGTATACAATGAATCGAAATAGTATCAATTACTCACCAGATTCGAAGCCTCGATGTTGTAGTTCTGTCGTAGTAAGCATTACAACGAGAATACAACATGGGATAACAAGAATGAAAACGATACCCCTCGACGCGTCTTTTCGAGTGAGTCCCAATAAGTCTTGAACTCTGGCAAGGAGCAATTTGGCATCAGCCCCTTCACCAGCGATGGCCGCAGAGCTTCTGAAGGAAAATATTTGAGTTGTCAAAAGACGAAAGAAACAAAGCATTACACTCACCTGTTGCTTTGAGTTGATGTTCGTGATATTCATTGGCGCCCAAGCCATACCGCCTCATTATGTTGTATCGCTAGCAGAAAAGCAACATCCAAAACCTAGACCAACAACATATCAGTGAATCAGTACATCAGTAGCGAAAACAAATGCACCAGCTGTTCATTTTGAGCCTGTTACTGGAAGGTTGAGTTGAATGAGTGATTATATGTGTTCTGTTTCGAATGTGTTCATTTTTGCAGAGTATAACACAACCAAGGCAACAAACTCACATCATCTGACGAGGAAAATCTGTGTTTGCCCAGGAGTTGTGCGGCTGTGATGTAGTAGAAAGAGCGAAGTTTTGTTGAGATGACTGATGGTTGTCACAATGGTGGTGGTACAAGAAAGGGATGCAACATATTTGCATTGATAAGGGTGAGAGGAGAGTTCATTGAAGTTCCGAATCACAGGTAAGTGGAGCTGTTGAAATGTTGAAGTTGGATTAAGTGTGGCGAAGTACGAAATACTTGAGCAACAAAATATGTATTACGCACGGACCTCCAGTTGAACACGACGGTTGAACTGCATGTAAGCCTGTCTTGCAGAGCATGCTGTACTGCTCAAATTTCAAATCGTAGACAGATTGTTCAACATGTGTTTGCACAACTTCGATGTCCATCGATATGAGTCTAATGACTACTCAAAACTTACAAATCCGTTGACCCCCATGGAAATGGCTATGTCCGACTTTCACTGGGCATCAGACATTGTCTGACATCAGAGAGGTCCACTTCTGGTATCAGACATGTAGTTCTGATTTCAGACACCAAATCTCACTGACCTGAGGCCAGTTATATGTCTGATGTCACACATGTCAGGTCTGCAGTCAGACAAATGTCTGAGATCAGACATTTCAGAAAGTTTGGTGAAAACTAAAGAAAATTATTATTGCATGTGGCAGGAGTTGAACTCATGACTTTTGAAGTGCAGGGCACATCATATGACCTATGCACACAACCTCAAGCAGCATCAACCACTTGGCCACAAGACCTTTCTTACATATAACTACAAAGTATACATATACCATACCCTACTCGACTTAGAAATATTTTTTGTTTCACTTCTTCAACAATTACTTTATAATCCATCTATCTCAACAAAATTTGTGAGATTAATTGAGACAAGTCTATCACTAGTTTTATCCTATTCTTTGTTGACATTTAAGCAAAATATATGTTAAATAAAAATGTACTAATAATTCATTATCTAGGCCTCCTGAGAAGGAGGCCGAGGAACGAGGCCTCTGCTGCAAGGATGGGCATGAATTTCAGTCTACAACTAGTAGTGTACTAGGCAGACCACCCCTATGCACACGTGCTGCAGTCCACCTTCTCCTAAGATAGGCCACTGCTACAACGGGAGGGAGGGGCTAGTAGAGCAGAGGGCAGCAGTTTTGATCCTGCGAAAGATCTTGTCAGGGGGGCTTGAACGCTGCCCCGACCACTCGTACTTCTAGTTCTATGTAGGATCCTCTTCCTTTTAAGCTATTTCGACTAGAGTAAATGGTCTGTGCCCTTGTGATAAGGGCAGGCTGCGATAGCCTTTGTAGCACTCGAGCTCGCGCTAGGCTCGTATTCAGCCATTTCACGCATCACGTCAAATGTCCATAGCGCTATATTTACTTCCCAATGCAACCCGACGCATATCCGCCAAACCCAACACTTTGACCAGCGGACCCAACACATTGGCCGCATCAGACCCAATGTTTTTCCCGCACACTTGTCCTATCCGTGTCTTGTCTTGTCAGCTAGCCCCACTAGGTGCATAGTTGATTATTTCGCACATTACTCACGTTGTAGCCAGTGCTATCACATGTTTTCCCATAGTCCGCAGTGCCTCGTGTTTATTTACATGTACAGTGGCTCAAAAAAGTGTCCCAATGTTTGTAGCTTTTCATGTAATTGCTATATCATGTGTCAAGACGTGGGAATATGACTAAGCTATAGGGAGATGTCGGAAAGGTCTGCATCTCAGCTTTATTTCGGTTCCCTATACCGTGGGAAAATAATGACATTATGTGAAGATATGAGTATTTTAATTTGATGACTCATTGGGACACTTTTTTGACTTTGAGTTTTACTAATGTAATCTCTATAATTCTAGTACTGTGTGTGACCTCCTTCTGCTCCAATCACTTCTGCCACTCTTCTAAACATATTCTCTATCAATTTTGGGTATTTCTCTTTGGTGATTCCATCATACTCTGCTGTAACACTGTCTCATAGTTGGAATAGCCCCTACAGTGAATCTTGATATGCTACAAGTAATTTCTTGAGTGATTCTCAGGGGTATTCAATATGGTTGATGTCTTGGGTCTATGTTGAACATGATAGAATAGTAATATTATGGTCTTTAAGTTATTTGGTAGCCAATCTAGAAGGTTGCTCTATAAGACTTAAGATCTCTTAATCACTATATTCTAATTGGAAAGACTGCTGATGCTAATAAAGTGATTAAATTGATTATTTCCATCATTCCTATGACTATCTCTACTCAAATAGTCAGACAGACTCTCAAGACAGCCCATCTTAAAGCTATAATCAAGAAAAACAGATTTCTCTGTCTCCAACCTATAAAAATAAAAGACAAGATGCTACTTTCAAGTACAAATATTGGACTGCTAATAGCTGAAAGAGGTTTATCTAGTTAGATAAGGTTAAAATCAATAGGATGAAATCATATGGCAAGGAATTTATATTAAAATAGATAGGACAATCATTAAGATAAAGAAAAATTAAATAAACACCTTAAGTTTCAAGACAAACTTGATGGTATAGGACTATATGAGATAAAATGGAGTGGGAATCTTCTATGAAGCAAAGGGGAGGATGAATACAGAGTAGTAAATACTCATTTGACAGGAGTGTCTGCTAAGAAGCATGCAGAAGTTATGAGTTAATGAAGAAGATACTGTTTTGTGATAA